GGCACAATTGAGCTGGTATGTTAGCCTTTCGTTCTTCGATTGAGTTCCAAGGGAAAGGGAAGATGCCCATCGAGGCCAAAGCACTCTTCATCGATATTCTGCGATGACGACATTTTCTTGAGAAAAGCACTTTTCTTTCACTACCCACGTCGAGCCTTTAAGCATACGGGACAAAAAAATATATTTTCTGCGCTCCAAGTAAATACAGCCCTATGTAAGACAATCGAGAAAACGCTTCTTAATAAATTGGTCAAAATAATTTTTCTTGACGTTGATGACACAGCGTGGTACGCTCAGGAGACTAAGAACAAAGGTGTCGAGATACATAATACAGAACTTGAAGGGTATAAAGATAGGTTTATACGCGTCCAGCTATTTTCTCAGACACACACTGAGTTCCTCGAGGATCATTAAAGGTCATTAGCACTTTACAAACACTTTCAGTCTGTAAACAGCGCCACTGGGTTCCACCACGTGGACTTTATTTCTGCTTAGTAAGGGGCTGAATATGCGAGACCTTGTGCTCTGTTCAAAGGTGAAGGTCAAAACACTCGAGTCCCCTGCTGGCAGACTACGGGTAGATCAAAACACGAGACACTGATCGACCACGCCTAGATTTTGACTTTCCTTAGTTTCCTAAACATTTATCATGATAAAGAAGGTATGTAATACATTATTCTGGAACTTAGTCAAAAGAGGTACTGGGTATAGAGGTACATATATATAGCAAATTCCTTGAGCGAGAGAGAGAGAAAGAGGAGAAGAAAGAGACGGTCGAAAATGCTCATTACGTACTTCCGGGGCGGGGAAAGATCTCTCTCAAGCCCTTAGTAACAAAATTCCCAACAGATATTTTGACATCCCCTTACCATTCTGTCCTGCTCCCGCTCCTTCGGGAAAAAAAATCTACCTAACGACATAGTTTTAGAAACCTTCATTGGGAGTTTCATTAAATACTTGCAACGAAACGTGATATACGCCTTCTCATATTCCATTCTCTTCTTTTCATACTTGAATGCTCAACATGTAATGCATTTTTCGTGTGTTTTTCCTTCTGACGCCGTTTACCATCCATCAACCCTTCAGGCCCTTTAGACTATGTGGCCCCGCTACTAAAAGAAAATGCCAAATTTTGAAAATAGCCGATTAATTTATGTTGACATTCGTCTTTCAAAGAAAACAGAGTTTGCTATTTTAACTGCTGGACCCCAACTCGGTACTCGGTCTTGAGTTTAACATTTTGGTCAAGTGCACTTCAGCTTGGAGAAAATGAGCAAGAGAAATGGTGAACATTTGAAACAAGGAGCGCGGTATCGGACGAAGTTTTTTCAACAATTTAGGCCGACACTTTACTTGAGTTTCATCGAGCAGCTCTCTCAATTTACTGTCGCTACGTTTTTGACTAAGTGATTATGTGATCTTGGAAGCAAGCTTCTCTAACAGATCGGGGTGAGTGTGAGGCAATCGATCACTCGTAAAACGAAGGAATGAAACGTACCGGTAAAATCCATTCTTTCAGGTTGAAACACAAAAAAATAGAAAAACAAAAAAACCTTAGACACTTGAGTTGGTTCTCTGTCTCGACGAATTATCACCATCCATTTGGATCGAACAGATCTTTTTAATTTTAGTTCGTAAATATGTTAGTATCGATAAATATTTATTTAAACTTACCGATAACTTGATGACAGAATTCTTTGGTCACTTATCAAGAGCGAGAATTATTTTCTGTTCAAAAGTTTCTATTAATTTTACAAAATTTTTAACATTGCTGTCGATTACGCACGTGCGGTTGCACCTGCCTCAGTTGGTTACGTAATTAAGAGGAAAGGCCAAAGTAAGCTCAGAAAAAAAAAGACAAAACAAAACAAAACACAACAAGCATGATTTTTAAGACTTTTCTTTAGATTTTTTCGCAAAAATCGGTGAAATTCTCTCATACACAAGGTCAAAAAGTAATCGGAATGGAATCAACGTATAGAAAGACAAAATATGTTTACTTTCATCACACAAGGAGGACAGTTATGTAACATTAGTGTTTTTAAACCAGAAAGTTAGCATTCTCTGTGTGAGAAAGGATCATGGTCGCCTGATTCCTAACGCAAATTCAACATTTTATCAACAACAATTAGAATGTCAAACATCACAGCCCTTAAAAGTCATTTAGCAAAAGAAGAGAAAGGATATACAACCATAAGCAGGGGAAACCAACAATGAATACAAAGGCCAAACAATTATTTCGAAAAAAGTAGAGAATTGAGCAAAATAAGAAACTTATGGTGAAAAATCCCTTTAAACTGAATAGAAAAAAACCAACGTCAAAGCCAAAACGTAGTTAAAGCTGGTTGATGAAACGTCGAAAATGCAAACAAATAAAGAACAATCAACACACAAAACGCTGAACAATGGGTCAAATGGTAAAGAACTGAGTTTGGGGACCACCGGGACAACCGATCAACATGGTCTATGTGGAAGTCTTCTTTTAGTTGATGTGCCACAGTCGTTTTTTAAATTCATTGACGACCATTTCTTTCGGAGAAAGGCATCGTACTGGATTTTGTTTTTGTCTAGCTCCGAGAAAAGTCTGCCATTTACATACGTATTATGTAACCATAACAGCACATCTAAATAAAGGAATGAAATAACAAAGAGCCCTTCAACTGTTTTCATTTTGATTGGGCATTGAAAGTTGAAAGGTGAAAGGTATAAGAACATTACGGATATAAGCCATAAGCCAGTTCGGAAGTGAAAATATTACAAAAAAACGTTATGTAAACAGTTATTGAGGCTGAGCCCTAGGGGGCAATAGCTTAATAAAGCAAGCCGATTTCCAGTTGATTTAGCCGAGCAGTATCATCTGACAAAGAGGAAAAACATTTATTTTAAGATCGAATGATTAATGTGTCGTTTGAAAGAATCACTAAGGAAAAAATATTTTGAACCCGTCCAGAAACTTCGAAAGGTTTGAATTTTTAGCATACGTGCTTGCTACGGTTAGCCACAACAAACTTCTGTTGTTGATTGCATAGCTATGTTCTGAGCATAGAACTTTGTAGAAATGTGACTTTTGATAAAGGAATGCAAACTGCAAAACTCTCATCCCATACTTAGGTATGGGCATTGATGAAGAGTTAAATTCATTCACGTATACAGTGCCCTAACGAGTTCGACTCCTGATAATGAACCCGACTAATGAGGACTTAAAACATGATAGTTAATTGATTATAAAGGGAAGAACTTGAACATCAACTGGGGGGTATGGTAAAGAGATTAATTAAGGAGGCTAAAGTTGACCGAAAATATCGGACATTTAAATACGTTAATGGGTAATTCATCTTTTAAAAGTGAAGATTAGCTTTGAAATGATAGCTGATCTTGCTGCCCTTTGACACCCTTGAATTAGTTACTAAGGAAAACATTTGCAAAGGAAGAGGGTGTTGAAAACTATGAGAAATGTTCAAAAGCGCTAGCTCTTTTTTTAGCACCAAACTGGTTCATCATTGGCAATCCTAGTTAAGCTGTAACCTATTTCAAGGCTTAACATTAACCCTTTCAAGCCTTAGTTACAAGCGTCTGATTTTCCCTACAATATCACCTCTGAATCAAACATTCACGTCACGAAAATAAAAGAAATGATCACTTACCAAAGATTCTCTTGATCGTTAAACATGCATACTGATGTTAGGGCGTAAAATGTCAAGTCTAGTCCTGAATATTTCTTAGATTTATGATATTCAGTAAAGAAAATACAATAACGTGAAGTAGTCTTGTGCTTGTCGGCAGAATTTTGAGTTGTCTTTCAATATAGGTTGGACAATGAGTTGCTCAATTTTAGCCACGACCTGAAGTAAGCTTTAGTTGGTTACATAATCAGTAAACGGAAAATTAGCTATAACGTAAATATAAACAAAATACAACGCAACTGAAAACAATTATCATGAATTTAATCTAAAACTCTATTCAAGCGAAGTCAGACATCATTTACAAATAGCAATTGAGACACTTCCGCTGTCCTTACACAAATGTAGTCCTAATGCTTAGTACACTGACGAAAAGCAATGCTCAACTTGCAGAACTTCCATTTAAATTTAGCTGTGGAATACTGACTCAGAAATTCTATCGTAGCTTACAATTCTTGGTTGTGTGCAACAAATATAGCTATTTCACTTTTTCTGGAGAAATGTTTGCAATGTAATATTGCACAATCAAAATTTTCAGACGCAAGAAGACACCTTTCTAATAAGGTCACAAAAAGGTTTGAAATTTCAGTTTCACATAAACACCAAAACCACCAGATGAATATGCAATTCACAACTTATAGCCACAAATGCAGAACTGATAACGATGCGGTATTTCGCAAACAAATCATCTGAACGTTGCCATTTTTTACATGAAAACATGATAACTATGTCATATTTTGAATGCATGCACTAGTTAAGGAGGAATTCTTCACATGACAATATCTTCTGAATTGGAGCAATTCAAAACCAAAACAATTAAGAAGGGATAAGGACCTTAATATCTTAAGTAGCTTAATATCAAATCCGAGTGGACTTAATTGGGAGGAAAATAAACACGAATTTAAAGTAAACAAAGAAATTTTAAAAATAAATCCTTAGCTTTTGAAAATGACCAGGTACAATGAAATCAGTCCATGCAAAGCTTGGGGCAATAACTTTTCTTAGTAAAATAGTCTGTTAATAGTCTGATCAACTCAATTACATATTCCTACCCATCTCTCGCTTATTAGGAAGTCTTCAAGAAACGCCTTAAAATAGCTAAATGGTTCAACTTATTTAGATTGTGCAAAGTCATAAGGTCATAGAGTTTGCAAAACTGGAGCCGGCTTTGAAAGGAGGCTGACGTTTGAACCTCTTTCGACGTAGTGATAGAGTTCCCCTTTTCGATCAAGTGGACATTTCCTAAGATTGCATCCGCATCACTACAAAGTGTCATTTACTTCACTCACCGCCAGAACATTGTAAACTGCTCTTCTGTGTCAATATTTCTTTGAATATCACTGTCACACTTAGAGATTATTTTACTGCCTAAATAAACAGCGTATCAGGAAACACCTACCTTTTTTGGATAAAGAATTCAAGGACTTTTGAAATAGGTAACTACATCCAGTTTTCGAGGAATCTTAGCACTCTAAAATGCACCTTCTCAGCAAGAAGCTTTTAGTTTACTGACGACTTCCGAGAACCTACATCAACCTACTTTCAACTCAGAAGCTAAATTCGAGGTGAGTAAATCGTGGAAACTTTGTAGATGACAAACATTGGCTAGACAGGCAAAGCTTCATCTAACTTGTGGAAACTTAAACGTTCGTTTTTTTCTCCATAAATTTTACATTTCGTGAGATTTCTCTTCATAACATTCGAGGCTTAAGGTTTACACAATCCCCTAATCGTAGTAGCAGTTTGCGTGAGTTAAGTTGTCTGTAATAACACTAGAGGAGTCAGTTTATCGGATTTGACTGGGCGTTAAAATTCGATAAAGAGAGAAAGAAGATTTTGATCAGATGATGTTTCAGTTTGCTGATGAAAATGCAATAAATAAAGTTCCTCATTTACGTAAGTATTCAGATCGCCATCTAAACAAATCAATAATCTCATTCTGTAATGAAATACTGGTAAAATTGCCCATTTCGTGTTCGAGACGAAAACAGATTTTTATAGATTTATTTTTGGACACAATTTATGTTTTCACGGAAGAATCTAAGAAGGAAGGAAAACGTCAGAAGCAAAGAGAACTCCTCTGTTTTCGGTAGGACATGACCAACACTCGGAGAATATGGATTTTATTGCATTCAAGCTATTTTGAGCTTTAATCAGTTTCGCCTTTTTCGCATATTTTTTAATACTCTTTTCTAAAGTTAAAGATTTGAAATACAACACTCCACGTTGAAATCGCGTGTTTGGATGCTTCTTTCAACTACAGTAGAAAAAATGTTTGGCCTGCCATTGCCTGCTGCGTGCCAACATGGGCAAACCCAAATTAAGTGGTAGAAATGGTTCCAAGTAAGGTTTTCCATGAACAAGAATCAGCGTTAAATGGAAAAGCTGACATATAGTGGATCACGAGGCGCTCCATTTTCCCCAGCATATCCGTTTTAGATAGCTAAAAAACTACAAGATTTGCTCTGTAACAATCCCTAGCCGTTCAGCATGATTTGACCCTCTTAGGGGCAGGACAACGGTATCTTACTTAGGGTTTGTCACACATTGTTATGTCTGGTCATGAAAAAGGGGTTGCTCACGTCGTGAACACATGGTGAAATCCCTTCTCTCCAACCAGGACTTAAAACGAAAGAAATATTGATTGTGGTTCTTGCTCATGTTTTGCTACGTGATCTCAGAAGTCTCTCTTTAACTTCTCCTTCCGCAAGGAGCCCACTCTTTTCTGCGTTCCACGTTTTTTTCCTTAAAGATAAGGGGACGAGGCAACCGCAAAATCTTAAAAATAGGCGAAATGACCTCACGCACTGAAGAGAAACGGAAATCCAAGTTTGGAAGTTTATTGAATTAATGTTATCAGATCTATCCGATTGACAATAATTAGCAGTCAATGAACAGACCAGACCTTGTTGTTTAAATCATTTTACTGAGAAAAGTCTAGAAATCTCAAAAGCTGTTTCTGCCGTGTGAAATGCCTATTTACTGTTTGACTCGGAAATAACGAAGATTTTTCACGCTTAAACTCTACGGGTACGGTGGGATGGGGGAATTGGACGAAGGATGATAGATATCCCAGGGGTTTCCCAATTAAGAAATCAGGAGAACTCCCAATAGAAATCCGTAGTTTGACTATGATTGAAAGTAGTAAACACCAGTCCTTTTAATAATATTCACGCGTGCTTATTACACGCGTATTCATCATAATAGCGTCAAAAAATACTTATTAATTAATAAATGCCTTGTTTTGACGTAGACAGCACATGTGCTTGAAGAGTCGAAGGTCATTTCCGTCTGGACGCCTGATATGATTTAGAACCTTGCAAACTACTTTCGGAAATAACATTTCTAACCACGAAAGGTTTCATCTTACCACTAGTGATTGACCTCTTCCAGTCAAATTACGAAAGAATGCTATTTACACCAACAACGGAAACCACGTAACACTTTCCGTGTTATCTAGGTGTGAACTTGTGAGCTTGCCTACGCAGAAATCCTTGGGTTTCGTAGCGATTGGTATGAACAAAGGAAAATAAACAAACACAGCGCGAAATATTCTCTCAGAACCTTAATCGCTTTGAAATTTAATCAGGACATATATTTAGAAAGAAATGCACGATACCGCATTTCTCCCTCTGGCGGAGTTGACGCAGATAAATAATTTCTCAAACATTTTCTTAAGAGATGTGTTAAATCTTAAAGGAAATATCAAAAAAGCGACAAAGAGTGCATTTTGAAAATGATGAGTTGCTTCGATATGGCAGTTGTTCAAAGAGTGCAACTAACAGAAACTCTTAACAAATAAACGCTGAGGATAGTATAAACTGACCAAGTTTGACGTTCAAATTATAAACTCTCGCTAGGATAAAGGTCAAACTTAACCTCATAATAAAAGGCGGTCGCAAGCAGGTAATCAAAAGCTGTGATTATGGAAGTGGTTTTACGTAAAACGTGAGGCGAGGGCATCTGGCAATTATGCATTATGTCAAGAACTAATAAGCCGTACAACACGTGTCGGTATGGTTTGTATCACCCCTAGATTTTCCGCACCCACCTAAATTAGTCATAAAAGGCGCTGACACATGCTTGGTTTTTAGTTTTAACACAGCTGAGGAAGCAGTAGAGCGAGTATCATACCATGGCGGGTTTAAAGAAGAGTTCATGGCTGCATCTTCTACTGCTGGTAGTCTTGTTATTCAGCGAAGGTTTAGCACAACGGAGGTCACCGTCATCTTCTCGAACCATCCGGAGAGGGTCCCATAGAACTACCTATAGAAGCAGGCAAGGTGCAAGTCGCGCGTCTACGAGTCGCACGAGGACTCAGAGGTATGGTGCTGCAGGACGGCTTAGAGGCGGAGGTAAGGCTTTTTACGATTTTGTTGTTAATGTCCAGTATTTTACTAGGTACATTGGCCAAAGTGAGAGAGAAAATCGTAATACCACTTTCATTTAGGCTTTGCTAGACAGTGATAGGTCTTTTAAATTTTCAAATAGGGTTTGACGGAATAGGCATGTCGGTTGTTGATTTCGAAATACGCACTGATCAACGTAGTGTTTTTGAAACTTGATAAAATGTTCCAAATAACTCCTTGTTGCTTTAAGCGTTAGTGATATTTAGGCAATTCTGGGTTCATTGCTGCGTATGTGGTGTTGGTGATATTTAGGCAATTCAGGGTTCATTGCTGCGTATGTGGCGAATAGCACTGTATGCGTTGATCGTACTGCGAAATTCAAAAGTACTTCTGATAAACAAACAAAAAGAAGCAAATGAATAAATAACAAATCGAAGAGTAATAATCGAAGACAAGATTTTCATCGCACGAGTGGGATAAATGTCATTGGTTTTTAAGCCTCGCATATTAATGGTGAACTTAAGTGGCGCCTCGAGAGAAAGGTCAAGCCAATGACGATATCATTACATCACACTACTTATAAATTAAATTTAAAAAAAAAGGGTTCAAACAGTGATGAGGAATAAGAACACTCCCACTGGTCTGGCATCTTTTCCGGGCATCTCCATATCACACCACTATGTTGCCGAGTATCAAGGGTCACGCGCTTAAGATGATTTTTTTAAAAAAACATTTAACCCCCAAGAGTGCCTAGCACCAAATATCTCCTTACAATAACACCCCTGAATCTCGATTTAGGTCGCGAGGATAAAGGATATGATCTCCAACTAAAAAAGGTCTTGATCGTCGAACGAATTTTCCTTGTCAGCACCTTAAAAAGAGTACGGAAAACAGTATGGGGAACATACATACCGTGCATAGGTTAAGGAAAGAACCCAAAAAAGCGCATGGATTCCAGATCCCCAGATTTCTCGCATGAACATGAAGTCGGGGAGGAGGGGGTGGGGGAAGGGGAAAGTGGGAGTGGGAAAAAGGGAAAGAGTTGTTGATTGGCAGCGTTCCCTCGCGGAAGAATTGTTTTATGGCTTAAAAAAATTTGGGTTCAATAATCGAGGATGAATTAATTTTTCTAAATGTTTTGTTGCTTGCAGAGTGCAAAGATGAACCAGCGAAACATGAGATCTGCGCGAAAGTAGTTAAAGAACTTGGCATCCAGGTTTGCCATGTCAAGATCGAACAGCTGAGATACAAACTCGAGAGGAGCTGTGCAAAGACTTGCAACTATTGTAAGTAATGCCGTTGAAATAACACGCATATTTGTGAGGTTCTGCTACCATTCTTGCCCTTCGCTTTGCCTAAATAATCAAACCACAGTCACTTCCCGTGCAGTTGCCGTTACACTAACTCTTCTTACATTTTCACTATTTACAACTTTTGGTTTTACTTTTTGCCTACTACTAAAGCCCACAATAATTTTGTATTCAGGTGGAGAACCTAAGATGAGTTGTAGAAGAACCAGAGACTGTTGTTGGGACAGATTCACACCGCGTGGCAGAGTAAGCTGCCCAGGTAAGAAACAATTGGCAATTACAGCAAAGATACAAAGGGTTATCTGTACCCTTTATTTTTGTTTCCTTTTCGTTGGCTATCAAAAAGAGCTTTGCAGAAAGCGACCATGGACTGCGACTTGATGTAAGAAATCTGTGTTCACTGATTCAGTTTAGAGCCTGTTGCTCTTGTGGGAAGGACTCGTGCTTTTTCTCAATAAACCCCTAGTAACCTTACATGTTTCAGAGTCTTTGTCGTAACTGGCTCTATAAAGCAAAAACTATTTCTAAAAAACACATACCATCACAAAATGAGTCAGTTACCTTATTGGAAAATTGCATGATTGTTTTTCATGGTAGTAACTTCGTCCAGAACTTAAGTTTTCCCTCTTAACTCCTTAAATCCTAAGAGTGACCAGCATCCAAACTCTCCTTACAGTAATACAGCTGAATCATTCATTATCATCATGAGAATAAAGGAAATGATCGCTAACCTGAGATGGTTTGATTGTAAAACAAATTTTCCCTGTCTAGACCAAAGAAGACGTGAAGAGCAGAGTGTACGGAATATGGATACTGATGTTAGGGTGCAAAGGGTTGACCCTTTAACTCCCAAGATCTGATTGTTAATTCTCCCCTGTAGCTGCTACACATTTCCTTGTAAATTAGTTATGAGAAATTGGTGCTAGATCAAGATAGCAGCTTCTACCTGATAAGTTTGAATATACTCATCACCTGTTTGTTGAAGATTGTATGGATATTGTAGGAAGAAGTTTTATGTTAATCACTTCTGCGAGTTAAAGGGTTAACTATATTTTAATTTCGTTTCCTCATTGGTTAGAATGCAAGGATCACATGCACCTCTGCAGAAGATTCAAAAGATTCTGTAACTCAGGAAAGGAGGAGAACAAAGAATTTATGGAACTGCACTGCCCAGTGACTTGCGGAAAATGCAGAGGTAGCATCGGAGCGATAAGAAAGGGGCGACCTGTTACCATGCGCGACTGGAACAAGCTTTGATTTCATTAAAGGTGGGTAGTAATTAAGTCTTTCTTTTGGAGCGTTTTTAGATTGTGTTTCCATAACCAAAGTAATCTCGACGGCTAATCAGAAGCACAGAAAATGTCTTTTCAGAGCCGATAAGAACTCACTCAAAGTATAAACAACCAAACGGACTAAAGCGCGCGAAAACGCAGGTGACTCAGTCATAATTGGTTTTAGTTTAAAGTCTGATCGGTTAATAAAGTGGCGCGAGTTTCCTGTACCAATTACGGTGCAAAGTGAAGAGAACAGATTACTTTCAACACAATTTGAAATTGCTCTAAAAATACCAATAAAAGAATGCTCAAAATCTTGGGTGCAAAATTGTATTTATTTTACTGACCTAAAGGAAACCTAGGAATCAAAGAATGGACACGGTGAAAAAACGCAATCTCGGCTAGGAAACTCGCATTTTTCTGCGTTTCCGACATTTTTTTTCACGTTTTAGTTTGAGCAGATCTCGTCGTCTATTTATGGCATTTTCCTTAAGTCTGACTGGCTGATGTGATGATGGCGAGTCAAATACAAGGGAACTCAAACCGAAAGGGCTTTAACTCTCGATAACATCAGTGTGCATATTCTCCATACCGATTTATACATTTCCTAAGGTGCTGACGAGGAGAGTTTATTTAGTAAACGAGAGCCTCTTAAGTTGGTGATCATTTCTTCGATTACCCTGAACGTAATGTATGATTCAGGGGTGAAACTGTCGGTAGAAATAACATGAAAGTCTCTCAAGGGTCAAAAGTAAAAAGCTTGTTCTCTTTACTCCGTCATCCTTAATTGTCAATACATTTTCGCGGAGAAAGGCAACTCGATAAAGAATATAGGGGTAAGTTTCTAAAGAAACTGTGGTGCTGCGTCGGTGGGAGAGTATAGCAGGTAATTTAGTGTTAACAACTGGGTTGAAAACGTAAATTAGCCACCGTAAAGGGTAAAAAAGCTGACGTTTCGAGCATTAGCCCTTCGTCTATCGCTCTGACGAAGGGCTAACGCTCGAAACGTCAGCTTTTTTACCCTTTACGGTGGCTAATTTACGTTTTCAACCCAGTTGTTAACACTAAATTACTCGATAAAGAATATCACTAATTGATAGTTTTGGGTAAAATTTTAAAACCATATTTTCAGATATGCAAGTATAAGAAATTTGTGGCAGAAAAATCCAGACGCTGCATATCATAGTGTCTAAAAATTCCACTGTTGTTTTCTTTTCTCAGATTGTGTCTGAACCGCGATATTAAGTTGGTGGACAGTTCTCACTTCCATGAATTTGACATACGATCCGTATTTTGACGAGGCACCAGTTTTGATTAAAGAGGACCGCCGTCGGAAATTACCAGGAATATGCGGATGATGTTTGATGTAAATGTAAATAAAGACTTTAGTAACATCTATGCGCTCAAATCAGGAGCGCCCTTCACATCGGGAAAATAATTGTTACAGATAGGCAATGTAGATGTACAGCATGAATTACGTGTAAATTTGTTCAAGTTGTTTTCACGCGTTTTGCCAACATCTACTATTTATACAAGTCTCGGACCAATCGAGGTTACAGATACTTTGCATTGTGTTTTTGTTGAACGAAATAAATATGATTAAACCTCAGTAACCGGCGCAGATAGTTCACGTAGCTTCCAAAGGGCTTATTGCAGCTTCCTTTGCTAGTTAAATACAGCAAATCCCCAAGAAAGACGCCATGTGTAATCTTAGTTCTTCTTGATTATGGTTTGACTTTTCTCTGAAAAAGGTTAAAATTTCACTGACAAACCGAATAAATAATTTTGCAAATTAGACCTGAAAACAACCGCTGACCTCCCCTCACAAGAGTCCTCTCCGCGCTTCTCCTGCAGCGAGTTGGAATTGATAATTCGGCCATGTATCATGGAAAAAGGATTGATTTTCTTGGAAACCCAACATCGGCTTGTTGTTCAATTTCATTATCTCTAATCGACCGATAAAATGCGTTCCCTGTTCTTGAAATATACCAGATAATTCAAAATAATACAAAATGATTGAAGTATATTCATTCACAAACTAAATTCAACCTGCATTACAAGAGAAAACAATAAATTCGACAGATATCTATCACTAGTACCAAACAATACATGAGTAATTGTCACATGATTAAAAAGTTTTCATTATCTTTCATAATGGAGAAGCTTAGACAAGATGAGAATCGCACTACTTGACATTTTTCTCCTTCCTGACTTCTTTCAAGGATGAAAATTCTTCCCTAAATCGAATTTAAATTCCCTGATTTTCCACTTACCTGTGGCAACTATGTAAATTTTTCTAACCCTTCTCTTTTTGGATTCTTAAGCTTTTCCTGCATTCCATAATAATTAGAGTTGACTTTCACAAAACGGAACAGAATCTTTTGTGGAAAGATGGAACTTAACACGGCGATCGAAATTCAGTAATAACAAGTCGGGTCACCGTTCTTTATCGCAAGAGAAAGACATTATTTAAGACATTAAATAAAGACATTATGAGTATGCAGTGTTCCCATTGTAACTTAAATTGTAACAAGACTGATGAAACGTTGTTTAGAGCTTCCAAAACATAGTTTTGGTACCATTTTTTAGGAAACAAACGAAGAAAATGAAGTGGAATCGGTCTATTGACCCAAACACCCTAACATCAGTCAGCATATTCTCCATACTGTTCCAATACATTTTCAAGGTTGCTTACTAAGAGAATGAGTTCAACAATCGAGATCTTCCTAAGTTGATGATCACTTTCTTTACTCTCTTGGCCATAAAGAGTGATTTACAAGTGACACTGTAAGGAGAAATAAGCCTCTGATCACGCTAAGGGGTCAAAAGGTAAACGAATTGAGAACCATTTCGAGCTCCCTTTCTGAACTAGCGTGTGCAAGACGCAGTTCACCCTCTTTACTCTCAATACCTGAATATCCCTTTTAGCTCTGAGGATTTGAGGCGTTGAAAAAAACTACAAATGAACTTTTAATCAGTGGCACCGTATTGACTGGTCATCCTGAATTAAGTGGTCAGTTGCCTTAGTCCCCAATTTGTTTCCCCTTAATCACTATAGTTTTCACCTCTGTTAAGCGGTCACTTCTATTAAGCGGTTGTCATCACCCTTTAATTTACCAGGTCCCAACGGCCTGTTGGTATTGTCTTTTACCTGTACGGAACGGTCATTTAAAGCCAAACCACTCAAAATAAAACTAAGAATAATCTTTCAAGTAATTTTCAATCCACGTTTCTCTCCCAACATCAAAGTATCACCAGTATTATTTTTGAGCGAGATTCTGTACATTAAGTGGTCAGTTAAGGTATAAAGTGGCGTTGTGTATTTTTTCATAATACCCCACATCTGTGAAACTTGTATTAAACAGTGAACGTGTACTAAACGTTCACCCCACCATTACTCGTGGGTGACCGCTTAATTCAGGTATGACAGTTCATCCTTTAATTACAGTTTTAATTCTTCTCATCATTCTTTTATTTGAAAATGAAATAATATCCTAAGAAGAGATTACATCTTGGTGACTCTTTGAGTGAAAGGGCCAATATACTTGACTCCGAATCCAAGAACTAACATGTTGTAAGGTCGTGTTCACGCAACACACATTACTCTCAGAGTGCATTTCCTCTCAGGGGTGGGGTTACCTGCCATAGATTAGCACCCCATTGAGCAGCGATACTCATTTTAGTAACCTCAAACTACAGAAACCGAGAGAAGCTTATGCTCTGAAAGCCGTTTGACAAGTGTACAAGATCTACGTGGAAACAAGACAGCTTCGAGTCCTTGTAAAGTCACATTTTTCGGGAATTAATCAGAGAGATACAAGCATCTTCTCTTCAATGATACCGACAAAAAGACCACTCTACAATGAAGTAATCATAAAAGTCTTGGGTCACTTTGACAAAGTGTGCACAACTAGGGTATCCTTTTTCACGCGCCATATCAAATCCTAATTCCTCACAGCACCCCCCCCCACCCCTCCAATTACTATGTTTTTCTTTGACAGTTTAATCATTTCATTCGCTCTAAGCGTTGCATTTTTTAAGGGAGGGGGGGGCATTATAACTCTGTAATACCACAACCTGAGGTATTCGTGATACGAAACATAGGATACGTGCTTTTGGATTGTTTATTCTAAGGATTTTCCCAAAAAGTTCCGCCTAGAGTGTAAATAAACCTTCCCTACTGAGAAGTCCTGAGCCTCTGTGCGTGAGTATGGGGATTGCCACGCGACGGGGAATGGGATAATGACGAACTATATCACGAAACTATACATCACGCTTCCTTTTCAAGTCGATCTGCGGAACAGAAAAGTTAAGGACGAACATTTTCTCTGATTCAAAACAAAATAATATTTAAGTAATAAGAAATAGACCTAAAGAGAAGGCATTTTACACTGGTAAAAAGTGGTCATCACCTTTGCGGTCGGCTTATGAAAAGCAAGACAATCAGCAACTCCCACGTTTAGTATTATTATAACATCAGCAGAAGCTCCTGGAGAATTTTTAAAAGGTGTTACACGTGTCTGTACAGGTTTAATAACAGGGGGAATTAAGAATGGAAAATACTCAAATACATTTTTAATTTTGTGCAGAGCGGGCTATTTCAGGAAAGGTACGTCGATGCATTTCGTTGTATAATCGTGCGTGACAATCGTTTTTTCTTTCATGATAATGGCAAGAAGATCTTTATCAATTCAATGAACATAACTTGACATTAACTTCTAGCTGAAATGCGTGCAGAGAAAATCATTTTCTTATCTTTTCTGATATCGACCACGCCCCGCTTAGAACTGATATATAAACCCATCGTCAAACATTGATCAAGCATTCTTTTTCCTTCTTATCCAAAAGACGAGTAGATAACCACGTTCAACATCCACGAAGCATGGCAATTCTAGAGAGGGGTTTCTTTTTGTTCTTCCTCGCCGTGATTTTGATCCTCTGCCAATCTTTTGCTCAACGTTCCACAAGTAGGGCCAACAGAAAGCTGGCAGAAACGAACAGGCTACGAAACGGAGAAGGTAAGAGTAACCATCTAAAAGATTAACACAAAGCATCTGTGTAAGCGTAGCTTTTCCACAGTCTATTCGAAGAGTCGAATGGATAACTCTGTCAGGGGTTGATCCACCGGTTAAAACTTGATTGAGCCAATTAGGAAAACAGAAAGGATTTTACCGATATTTCACTCTATTTGGCATTTTACCAAGAAGAACATTCTAGATGACTAGGCCACTTACGTGTCGAGTACTTTTTTGAGACAATGTATATTTTTTTTGCTCCCCCTTTCCCTTCTCACACTCTGGAAGGATTGAAAAAATAACTCACTGTATGAAACAAAGTTACCTCTCATTGTATATTCCACAAGCTTTTAAACTCAAATGGGAAACAGAAGTTTGGTCACGAGAAAGATCAATTCATACGCCATAGAAAGTTGTTGTTTCTAAAATGTTCAAGGAACAGTAGTAGTTTTGTTTTCAGTACACGCATGCGCTTTCAAGTCTGAAAACAAGGGTACCTTTCATAAACCATCCCATAGGCTTTTGTATTTAAATGAAAAACAGAAGCAGTACATTCACGGGAATTAACAGTTCCCAAACCATAAATTGTCTTATAGCTTAAACGTTCGAGGAATACTTTTGATTTCTTTTCGGTGCACGCAAACATTTTCAAGACTTGCAGCAAAACGAAGCGAAGCTTAAAACATTACGATATTTCCATTATTGGACCGGAATCATTGATACATTCTTCTTTAACCAAAATCGGTTTTCACTATATCTGTACAGCTATTTTTAGTCACAGAAGTGAATACAATTTGTCGAAGCCTTTTTTTTTAATATCTAAAATAATTTCATGACTGTATCAGTAGGCAGTGGTGGACAAAGACTGAATAGATTTGTTTAGATGCTTTCGTAAGGAAAGACTTTATACATATCTGATATAGGTCGTCAATCTTTCTTCTTTTCCAATGCCAAAAATAAAATACAGATATTTACACGTACATGGCCGTAAAAGCCTTCGAAGGTTAAGTGGCTGTACTCCCTTGAGACAAAAGTTCATCATTTTCCTGTTTTTGACGGTTAAGCTTAAAACTTTTCCGTCAATCTTAAGCGCACACACATGACGTTTTCCACAGTGCTAATCACTTGTCTCATGTCAACACAGTATATGAACTAACTCACCACAGAGGTGTTTGTAGCTTAGTCATTGCACTATCCTATCTCGAAATCGGAAGGTATGACACTCGCATTTTATGGTATTCAATATTTCCTTTCCTTTCTTTTTCCTCACACCGAAACGATTACGAGACGTTTATCATCCGAAATTAGAAAAACAAAGGGTCTTAATGAACTTTTACTCTAGATTCCGGAAGCGTTTGAACCAAACCTTTTCGGCACGTCATAAAATGATATTCTAACTCACATGCCCTTAAAAAAAACATCAAAGATGTCATTAAAAAAAAATAATAAATAAATTAAAAAAAAATATATATATATATATAATTGTGGGAAATTGTAGCAAATGCTATTGGAAAGTGCTCAATACACATGACTGTAGAGCGAAATACAATTCAAAATGACTAAAATGAAACACGCATGATTCTCCGTAACTCTAAGTTTCGTGCTTACGCACTCGTCAGACAGATTTAAATCTGTCTGACGAGTGCGTAGGCACGAAACTCAGAGTTACAGGGAATCATGCGTGTTTCATTTTGGTCATTTTGAATTGTTTATATATATATATATAGGCTGAAGGGTTGGTACATGTCCGCAGATAGACCAAGAAAGAAATATCATTTTACCGTGACAACCAAATCGGTTTTCAATTTAACCACATCTGTATTGTATTAAAGCAGATCACGCAACAGATACATACTCTACAAGTTTGTGTTAATTTTTTGTGCCCTTTATACAAAAGGTTTAATTTCAGACCTACCGTAAGTGGACAGCGGGTGTCTCTAAAAAGAGATCGGTTTCCGTGCACCCTTATGTAAGGTATTTAAAGTATTAGTTTCGCATTTACATTCAAAAGGAAGCAACAATCAAACAAAATAAAATCGGTTTTTCATGATAATCGATGAAAGATGGTTCAACAGATGAATACTCAGCAAAGCGTGTCAATTGTCAGAGCCCCCTTAATTTAAAGCTTTAGTTTCTGACCAGCAAGAACCGCTTTGAGCACATTTGTTTTCAAGAGTTCCGTGAGAGGGGTGCTCAATCTACTTATCTAGTGTAAGCTATGAGTATTCCTTTATTACCAGTGCAGTAAAATCATCTAGATATTTGCAGTATTAATTACTGCCAAATTTTTCCTCCACGCGTTATGATAAACACTTCTCAATTTATCACTTGCCGATCTCAGCGACCTTGCTTAGTTTAAAAGAATCACAGTAACAAGTGAACTGATCACTACAAGTTAAACTTTGACTGACGAATATCAGATGTCCCTTTGGTACCAATTTTAGACACCGTACTGATACCATCAGTTTTAAAAATGAAAACAATGACGGAAAGATCTAAATCTATGTAGAGATTTTCCAACCGATATGTACCCTTAAGGAATTTTAATCCTTAAGTTGAAAAAAAGTAATTAATTTGTTTGCAACATCTTTCTATCTTCACGTAAACAAGTTATGACCTGAGTAAACTATTAGTTACAAAGTGTCTTCTTCACAGGAGTCAAATTATATGGACTTGTTTACCTAAAATGTATAAAAACCTGAAGGTAGAGATACGATCAAATTTTCACATCACTTCAGAAGACTTAGCGGTCGTTTCACTGTGAAGTCACGAAAAGGAACATTTGCCAAAATAAACTTCCAGAGTGTCATATCATTAGCTAACGCACGGAAGATATAAAGGCAGTGCGTACAACACTTTAAACAAAGTGTTAAAAGATAAAATCTAACGTTGACGTTGGATTGACTCATAAGTAATAGAGGGAACAAATCAAACTTTGTAATATAAAGACTTTGTTCACGAGAAATTAAGGATAGCCCAGCAATGCCAGAAATTTGTTGAGAACTATACCAATGTTTTTTGCGCGCGGATCCGCCACGGATATCCTATCTTTACCGCCACAATTTTTGCAGTCCACGTAAAGGAAGGCGTTCGCTTTTTGGTTACAGCAAGCCTACAACGCGCATTTTTACTTGACATGCTTTGTTAACGCAGCTCACGGTTTGAATTGCAACGCACCGATCAGGTCCCATTGGCGCCTTACTTTTAAGGAGTCATCAAATTTAAGTGCGCATGCGTTTTAGCATTTCATAGAGCCCGCAAATTTAGACACTAAGAATAACCAGGAGCCCATTACTAAGTAATGGGCTTCTGAAGAAACGCAATTTAAATAGTCTTTGATGTAGTTATTTCTATAACCCACAGTTCAAGACATGTGTATAAATAAATCCATTTATTTTACTGACGGGGAAGTAAACGAGGTTCCAAGTTTGTCACTCGGACTCCGTGGGGTCAGGTTGAGCTTCTCTTTCAACTGATCGACGGCCGAGCTTTCATTGCCAACAGAAAACTGACATAACAATTAACCAATCGCTTCTTTATGATGAATTTACCAGCACTTCCTTTTGTGAATTTTCTCTCGTAGAATGCAAAGACAAAGGTTCACACAGTACTTGTAAGAAAATTATCACCGAACTGGGATATAGAGTGTGTTACACGGTCATAAGTCAGCTGAAACTCAAGCTGGAAAGAAGCTGTTCCGCTAGTTGTCATTATTGTAAGTAGCTCTGTCCAGTGGTGCATCCACGAAATATAATCCTTGCAATAATCCTTGTAGCACAGTAAATGAGTAAACAACCGACCAAAAGAGCAATAAAATGAAGACAATTATTTCATAACCATGGCATCTACAGGAGTGACATCCGTCTTGATAAAAAAATCGACAACGCGCTTCAACGAAAAACACTTGGTTTAAACTCAAAGGGTGTGTCAATCGCGAGTCGAAATCTTTTAAGCATTTTCCAGTGCCCCCTCTGAATAAAAAGGAATAAGGGTGAGTCCTTGTTACGAGGTTTTCTTGGAACCAGGTTGCTACCCAGACATGAACTCAGAAATGCCCAAGTCAACAATGGCTTTAAGCTTCTCATGACAGTTAAAAATACACCTGTATGTAAGACTGGGATAGGAAAAAAAATGATGATAACTGATCCACAAAGCGAGGAATGACGCTTTTTTTAAGGAAGTGAGAAATCTAAAGAATCCAGAATAACAGCAATAATAAATAAAGTTGATATTGTTTGTCAAGGTGGAGAACCTCTCGAAAACTGCAGAATAAACAGGAATGGATGTTGTTGGGATGGTAGAACAACCAGTCAAGATCCCTATGGCATAAAAGGCTGCCCTGGTAAGTAAAATAGCAAAGGAAAAGAATGCTGCTATTGAAATGAAAGGCTCCTAAAACTCAGCTCAAGGAGTACAGGATTAACCTAGACAAGAGAGTTTGGTCACAGATACCGGTGACGGATCTTGGAGAGGGCCCCCCTACCTCCCTTGTTTTGGGTAAAAAAAAAAGAATCGCAGAAAGAAGAAAATCCGGCAGGGCTAGCGACAAAACCCCCCCCCTCTTCGTAACTTCTCTCAGTGATCTTAGTATGGTGAATAAATGATAAGCTTTAGTGTCAGGATTTTCTACAATAATTTATGAATATCCCCTCAGTACACATACAAAACGAAGGGGGACTCTTAACGTATCAATGTCCTCACTGGAACAACTGTGTTTCTTTAGAATATATTTACTCCTCACTACGGAGAGGAAAGGGTGAAAGGGATTACCTCGTTAACCTTTTGACTTCTCAAAGTGACGAGCATCTAATTTCTCCTTACAATACCACTGCCGATCAAAAATCAAGGTCATGAGAATAAAGGAAACGATCGCCTATAGGAGAAGCTCTTGATCGTTGTGTAAATTCTTCTTGCTTGTACCATGGGAAATGAATAGAGAACAGTATGGAGAAAATACATTTTGATTTTACGATCTAAGGGTTAAACGTCACACCTGCTTCAAGTCCATTGTGACGGTGGCACACGCGTATTACTGCTCTTTTTGACCATTTGTTCAAGAAATCTAAAATTCATATATCTATCTGGTAACCTTGATTCAAAAACCCCGACCGTAACAACCATATGATCCCCCAAAACCCAACCCCCCCCCGGCGATAATGATTGGTCCCTAACGGGGAAGCCCAAATTCCCGATAAATGAATGACGCTATTTTCTGATTGTGCTTTTTTTTCTTTGGGCGGTGTCTATAGAGTGCAAGGATCATTTTTCTTTGTGCAAACGATTCAAGAAGTTTTGCACACAGTCACGACGAGAAAATATCGAGTTCATGGAGTTTCACTGTCCATTGACTTGCGGCAAGTGTAATCACAGGAATTTGCCAATAAACGGACAGAAAATCCGGATGGACGATTGGAGGAAAATTTAATTGCTGAACTAAGAAGGTAAGTAAATCGACTTTCATTGCAAATCGCGCACCTAAAAAAAAATGCTGAAGAAGGCCAAAGTACGTGAACTTCCTCGTTTGTGAATCTGTTGCCATTTTCTTAAGTATAAACACGTCTAACTGTCATCAGCCACGCTTGGATCAGTTAGCGCGGTTAGGAAACCTAACAGGTGAACGAGGTTGGGTCAGAATCATGATAATCTAAAGCATGAGTAAAAGGCTTCAACACTGAAGTAGGTATTACTGAGTTATAATGATCAAAAGTTCGTTTCTCTTTCAGAGATTTGGTGGATGGCAAAGTCCTCTCACAAGATGGAACGTCAATTGTTGTTACATTTAAATGTGAGGTTGCCTTCAAATCAATGACTATGGAGGACCAATGCTTTCATTACACTCTTGCCAGCTGGATGGTGATTTTGGGCAAATTTTGAGGGAGCGTCGAAAAAAATTCAAGATTGTATTGATTTTAATTTCCTTTGCACTGTGATTGGTCTGGAAAGTTCTCGACAAAGTTTAAACCAAATACATGCTGCATTTGTTTTTTCAGCAATTTAGACAGTTTTCTGAGAAGTTCGCTTTTTTTTACTTTGAGTTCACCTCCACGCCGTTGTCATATTCTCCTCTGTTCGTTTAAGATGTAGTGATAACTTTTTAGTTTTACAACGCTCAATTTTATCTAGATTTTTATCGCTCTATCCATGTTGGTATCTAGTTATCAGAGTATAATCAATCGAAATGTGCTCTGTCCGGTAGATATGGCGTTGTATGCAAAAATTAATGCCTAAAGGTTAGCAGGACAATATTTAGGAATGCTTAAATAGCTTAATGTTGTAATAAAGAATATTTGAAAGAGATATTTGCGCAATAGAATGCTTTGCTTCATTAACAGTCTATCGCCGTAAAAATGCGATAAAATTTTTTATTTACGAGCCGAACACCCCGAGTTGGACGAACACCAAGCGGCCATCGACGATTGCCCTGGAAGTGTCTGCCTAACTGTAGCGGGTTTACCTACTGGAATAAGCAGATCGCGGGATATTCAAGGGAAAGAAGCCAAGTTTCTCGGGTCGATTTTCGCAAGATGGGACGGTGCTGTTGAAATATATCACCTCAACAGCGATGAGTTTGACTCAGACTTCGCTGATGTTGCCAGGTTTATCATTTAAGTGTTCAGGATTCAATTATGTCGCATTATTCTCAACAGTGCGTGACCAAAACGCTTTGTGATGGTCGGCTTTTGCCGCGAAGCGCTCAGTATCAAACTGGAAGAACACAGTGCGGAGGCCCACCGGGTGACCTAGCCCCTTAAATTAATGTAAATTTTTTCACGGTACACAAACTATCGGTGCGTTCCTTTGGGAGGATCTGGATTAGGTTTTGTGATCCAAGATCACACAGATCACGGTGCATCAAAGGAACGGAGCTAACACGACAGCAGGCGCGAAATTGTAGAGCGCGTCAGCGGAGTCGCGCGCTAAATTTAAAAACGAGAACGAGATCGCCACCGCGGATAGAGCAGCTGTTGTTTCGTCAATAGAAGAACTTTCCGATGATTCAACACTACAAGAAGCGAGAAGTTGTGAAGATGAAGAATTTCTATTGTTTCTCTTGATAAGGGAAAGGCAGAGCCATGTCCGCATTGAGCATTATTTCAAACGTATTAAGCCACTCTACATTGTTTCAGATTTTTTTAAGTCATTCTAAACCCTGTCAGCTACTTGCCTAATTCTGCCTCATGGACAAAGGAATGGAGGGAGACCTACCTTTGACTTACAGAACAAAGTATTGATTACGATATGGATACTTGGGAACCCTAAATGCCTGCAATCAGTGGCCGATCGATTTAACATTAAAAAATCTATTTTAATTTCGTGTTGACCGCAGAATTTGTGGAGCGATGGCCAACAATCTTTCCGGTCAATATATGAAGTACGTACTTGTTTGAAATTGAGCATTGCTGGGCAAAATGATTAATTTCGGATCCTTCGCCCAAAGGAACGCGTTGGATCAATGATCCAATGATCCGTCTTTAGATCGCGCAGATCAGTGATCCGATGAATCCTTGTCCAGAGTAGATTTGATAGATCATTGATCTGAAAATAGATTTGCTCGAAACGAACGCCACAGATCAGAAATCCTGATCCGGATTCTCCTAAAGGAACGCACCCTGTGTCAGATCACTTTTATGACAGGCTTTTGATGATGTTTCGAAATTTTGTTTATTTTGCTGGCGCTTTTATTGAAACGCTGATTTCGTGGCTACATTCCTTTAAAGTAGATCTTCAAAGTTTTCCCAGATTAAAATTTAAAACAATTAAATACCCAACGGTGAACTAAACGAACACACTGCTAGCCAAGCGTGTTAAGCCGTCAGAGCAGAGTGCATTTTTCAAATAATTAAATTCAAACTCACGAAAACAATAGAATTTCTAAAGGACATCACATTCGGAAAACCTATAGCAAATAGTGACATACATTTCGCAGATAAAAAAAATTTTTTTCGGTGAAATATTATTATTTCAATACAAGGTACGAGTGTTAAAATTGGATGTAAATTCCTGAGTTTGAAAAAACTGCGTGACAAAGACACAAAACAAAAATCATTGAAAGTAAACAGTCCAGTTTTTACGAACCGTGGGATATTTGTTTACACAAAGAAATATTTCAGCATGACAATCTGACCATTTACAGAATCGCTAGAAATTTGCGCGCGTTTTGACTTGGTAAGCCAAACCGTCACAGCTAAGCGTAAACGCCACGACTCTAAAAAGAAATGTATCGATCTATGGAAGTTTTCGTAAGTGGGCCTATTTTCATGACTAAATCTATCCTGTACTTCAGTGAACCATTGCAATTTCGACATTTATAGCTGTTTTTGAAACATTTTCAACGGTTTAGCTGGATGTATTGGAAAAAAAATAAAATTAGTTTAGATAATTTCCCTAGTTCTGTCGCACCCTGTACAAAACCTGTTTGGAATACTCCCTCTTATGCATTGCCTCATGTCTAAGTGTTTGTCTCAACTTAGCGTTTGCATTTTTTCGTTGAGATGGAATAGAAGGTGACCATTTTGAGTGATTATGTTGGAGTAGGAGAGTCAAGACTGAAAATTTTGAAGAATTTCCTGATTTAAAGCACCGTGAATCCATCAGCCAGAGTTCTGTCCCGTTCGCCAAAGAAAACGTATCTTTCCATCACCTGGTTTTATTCTATTCCACAAGTTAAAAAAGGAGACAAAATTCAATTTGTAGTTAGACAGTTAAAAAAATTTTGAATCCATAGGCCACAGGTAGACAACCCTGTGGGTTTGAGGCCGCGCTACGTAAGCTATTTGATTCGCTAGTTGAACACTTACATTGTTTGTAATATGCAACGGTCGATCTCGGCAAGACGGAAGTGATCCCGAGAAATGTTTTATAAATACCGCAAATCGTGACATTTCATCCTCAAAATCCGCTTAATGACAGTCAGATTAATGAAGTATATTTACATTCGTTTTTCTGTGTTGTCTCGTGTGATTTTGGGACGGTTAATTCTCCACTTTGCACCGACGCCCTTTCAAAAGCAAAGGAAAAACACAAGGCGTGCAACTTCCAGGACCGTCTGGGCCGAAAGCCTCCAGAACTTCGCCGAATTTCTTCCGCTACATGATGTGGACCGAAGTGGAAGATCATAAGCCTTCGATTTACCGTTTTACAATTCAAATTAATCATTAAGCGAGCTCAAATTTCATCCGGTAGAAAGACGGTACAAACCAGCCTTACCCTAAGACTTCCGTTCCGTAACCGGAAAAAAACATAAGCCAATCAGAACAAAGCTGTCATGTGTCGACGGCGGAGCGATGAGCGAAGGTCGGAAATCGAGCAGGTGGTTAGAGGCGGCCAATTGCTCTGAGTTTTGGCTTGGCTATTACACGTTTATCAATTTTTAACGTGCCCGAAGCTGGGAGGTGAGCAACATTTGGAAGCGGAAGAAATTTGGCAAAGTTCTATAGGATTTAGGCCCCTGAGACGGTCCTGGAAGTAGCACGCCTTTACCGTCCCAAAACCCCGCAAAATCACTCGAGACAACACAGAAAAACAAATGTAAGTGAGCTTTATTTATCTGACTGTCATTAAGCCGGGATTTTGGGCATGAAAAGTCAAGGTTTGCGGTATTTATGAAACATTTCTCGGGATCACTTCCGTCTTTCCGAGATCGATCACTGCAAATTAAAATTCAACTAGCATATAAAAAATTGACGTCAAGCAGCCTAAAACCTACGGGGTTGTCTGTCTGTGCATAGACTCTTAAGTCGCAATCACTTTGCCATTTAACGGTTTTTAATGGCCTACCACACTAACGACAAAATTACGGATGGGTTGTCCCGACTTGACAATTTTTTGCCGAAGCGGAAAATTTTTCAAAAGCACCGCCGACAAAATTTGTCCCGCGTAAAAGCTTGGCGAAAACAACTAGACGACTTGCATGGAAAAACTAGCATCGCCACTGCTATAAAATTTTTTAAATCTAAACTGATAAGCAGCGATCTGCGTACAGTATTTGTAAAACTTCCATATTCTCCGACGCATTTCGTCTAACTGTCGTAAACTTCTTCATGGAGTTGTACAAGTTAACTCGAAACGTGGCAAGGCGGAAAAGATTATTTGAAGGCCACGGTTTAGGTTTTCTTTTTTCGTCACGCACGTCACGCAACAAGTTACAAAACGTAAATATAATTCTCCGGATGCCACCGATGCCTTTTCCGATGCCTCGATTGTTTATTACAGCAGTAAAAGATGTATGTACAATCAACACTTCTGAAAAATTGCTTAAAATTTTATTTAGCGAAGTTTACTGTTAACAGTTTGCAACTACAAATAATCTGTCTCTATATAAATTATTAAAACTGTTTCACCGCTGACCACTCGTATTTCTTCCCCCGCTCGTCGCCCCCCTTCCGCGTGTTCGCGTGTTACAGCAGGTCTAAAAACATTCAACAGAATATCGAAGGTACCACGATCCATTCGCATTTTCCTTCTGAAAAACTACCCCCGGAATTGTTCAGTCATTTTAGTGGATCTCGAACCAAGACCGGTTTGGTCTTAGAAGTTTCCAATAGTAATGGTTGAGTCGACGTGCCCGACGTCTCCATCTTCTACGGTGTTCAATCATTAACAGAGTTGCTTGGTATCTATGAAATTGATGCCTTCATACTAGGCTCATTATAAGCATCATTTCGTCTGCCATCTGAGCGAAATTTAAATGCAAGAAACACGTCACAAGTTGAAGCATTTGAACACGTTCCACTATATAATTATCCCGCCAAAACGTTTGATGTTTTGGCGCGCATAGCTAAATTGAATAAATTACATTGAAATATAATAACGGTGTTATTTTTGGCTGTTAACCGAATTTGACAGCTTTTTGACAGCTTCGAAATTTTTAGTGCGGATGTAACAGAGGAGACAATAATTTGTCATGACAAAATTTGTCCTTTGATTTTATCAGTACAACTCTAGTTTTGTCTGCTAGTGCGGATAGGCACTAAGACGTCTATTATGTCATGTGTGACTTCCACTGACACTAATTCGGTTCCAAGCTGAACATAATTAGGGAAAGTCACAGAAAATTTACGTTGACCATTGCGCGCGTAAAATAATGTCCAAATTTTTAAAATAATGCAATAAACGAAGGTTGGCCAAGTTGGACTAGGTTCAAGAAAAAAAAGTTAAAAGGCCGAACACCAAACAAATGCTTACAAAAGGTCGACATTTAATGATCACTCAATGAGGTTCCCACAGTTTCTTTTTTTTTTTTGGTGAGCAAATTAACGTGAGTTAAATGGTATTGACATTCTTCATTTAACGTATAACGCTGCCGCACGAAAGGTTCGATTGTTACGTTGCAGCTACATGAGTGGTCTTCGGGGGCAAGTAAAAACACATTATCTTACAATGTTTTGATGCCATTATTCTGGCGCAGCAGGGAAAGTCACGTGAACCGGTTGCATGTTTCTCCGTTTGGGCACTAAGTGGTTTCCATGAAATCTCTGATAGAAATATTCGAAAATTAACGAAGGTCAATCTATCCATTCACTCGCTTTTCCATTTACCCGCTTTTCCATTCACAAGTTGACGCAAGGAGTCCTGTAATTGTGCGAAAGTCAAGGAAAACTCCAAAAAGGATTGAATAGTTGTTGTGCTTTTTTTTTTCTTTCACTTTTGTTGCTCTAAACTTTTATTTTTCCTTGCATTCATAGTCAAAAGGAAGGGGAAAAACACACTGGGTTAAAAAAATCTTGAACCCAGGAAAAAATTTGAACACTAAAGTGTAAATTCAACCACTAATTAAAGAAACGCTGAGTTTAATGCAACTCAAAGAGTAGCTTGTAATATCTGCGTTTGCACGAATGCACTCTAAGAGACAATTTGAGTTATACATTAAAATACAGTGTAAACAATTGCCACAGTAATCAAACGATCTCTCAAACCCCCAATCGAAGTTGAGTGTGATTAACAGAACCCCAATATAATAGGTCCGTGACATGGGACGCATCTTAAATATCTCGGTCTCGAAGCATTTTTTTAGTTTAAACTTCCAATGTATTTTCTATTGAGATATAAATGGATTTCTTTCAATCAACCGATTTATAGCAGTAAGCGAGTCAATCAAACCTCCGCATGATGACATCACTATTGTGTATCATGGTATTTTCTGTGACCTTACAAGTCAGCAATGGTGGTTGTATGGATCCTAAGACTCCTCAACCATGGATTTCTTTCAATCAACCGATTTATAGCAGTAAGCGAGTCAATCAAACCTCCGCATGATGACATCACTATTGTGTATCATGGTATTTTCTGTGACCTTACAAGTCAGCAATGGTGGTTGTATGGATCCTAAGACTCCTCAACCTGATAAGTGCCGTCCGACCGACAAGCCAAATGAGCGGTTTGTTGATCCTCACAATGACTTCCGAAGTCAGGTAAAGCCAAGTGCAGCGGACATGGAGAACGTGGTGAGTTGAACAGTCTTACTTAAGGAAATTTAAAGGTTTCCTTTGAAGCCACCTGTTGTCTTTTTAGTGTTATCAACAAAGTAGATAACGTAAATTGGCCACCGTTTAGGCTCTGTAACATTCTTAAGATTACCCCCTGCCTCATTGGCTGTTAACTGGCAGTCAATTTACCATACCCCCCTTTATACTCTGTTAGCGACGATAATCCCCCCTCCCCTCTCCCTAAAAACAAGGGGTTCCCCCTCCCTCCGACCATGTTAAATCATGACTGGTACATAAAGAATATAAACAGTCCATGATCTTTCATAAACCCTGAATCAAGTTTCCCAATTCAGTCGAACTGGAAAATCACAGTAACTGGCTGTTGTGCCGATTACTTTGATTTGAATCAGTTTAAGATACTTTACAAAGATGCACTCTAACCCTACAAGTGAAACAAAAAACTGAAAAAAATTACTCACTGTGTGGCTTGTCTGACAGGTGTATGATGAACTGTACCCTATCTCACAAGTCGAGGACCTCCTCCAGAATCAGCCGGAGTGGACCTTGGCCGACTTCAGTGAGCCTCTGAAAGGAACACCATCAGATGAGCCGTAAGCTTACAACGACTAAAATATAACCAATAGAGAGACGCCACAAGTGTTTCTATAGAAAAAGAGGGACTGGGGGCTAATGTAAACGATTTACCGCTGGCACATCTCACCTGCTTGCTGTAGAATAGAGCAATATCAATCAAACAGATGTTTTTGGCTCAAAATATTTGAAAGTGGGACTACAATAACAATTTGAAGGTGTGGGCCGGATTTTTTCGGCAGGAGACTGCAACAACTTTCATCAATTTAAAATGAGTTTGCGCAAATGCCGATACAATTTATCATGTTTAGATGAATAAAAAGGGCTTAATTGTGTCAATAACAAAATGCTTGAATATGAGCAACACTAATAATCGGACAGGCCAAATCAGACAGTTGAGCAATCAATTAAAATCAAGTACTTTACGCCATCAACCGATAAAACTCAACTACCTACCCAATCAAAATGAAAACTAATGACTTCGGGTTGAGAGGTCCGGCACATTTGAAACATAGTGACGTGGACAAAACTAAAAGTTCCAATTACTTTTACTCGGTATCAGCAAGAACGGTATGTGTTGTGACATTAAATTTTTCATTCCCGAATTTCTTGTGTTTTGTTTTTGACACAATTTATTGGTAATCGGACTTCGAGTCGTACAACTCAAGGGTAATCCTATTCTTAATTTCAAATTACCCTTGTACTCGGCCAATTTGAAATCACACGCCTGATGACTCCCTGAATTGTACTCCACTAAGTCCTATCACCATTACAACCCACGATAAAAATACTTCGCTGAAAATCCAATTAACTGATGAGCTTCAAAACTTTCACACAACACAAGAGAGTTTGAATATGAATCTTGGGTCTTATTTCACAAAAACAGATTTCTAGCTTCAAACTTGCTTCAGAATGACCCCGATCAAGATGATCTTAAGTGGATGGAGACTGACATTGTGACCAAGTACAAATTTTAAAAAAATGCCGAGGAAGATACGTGGCAATTTCAACCCAACTTCGCAGGAAAAATCGGCACAACAGACTTTGCCAAAGATGCGGATAGGATAAAGAAGTTCTTTGAACGAAACAACGATTGGGCAGCTATGAAAAAAAAATTCCGCACTCCTACTAGCTGTCTTCAACTTCTGTACATTACTGCCGCTAGGTATCTCTTTGTGACACAAGTTCTTTACGTTCTAAGTGGTAATAAGCTAAAACCCTGCGTGAGAACAGCGGCAAAGAAAATCGAAATCCCTGACTCTGTGTGCTTTCCTGAGCCTTACGGATCAGCTTCTTGCACTTCGGACTACGACGTCGGGCTTGTTGGAAAAGACGCTGGTACGCTAACAGAGAAATTCAACAACTTTTTCCAAGACAAAAATGAATTTGGGAAACCCTCGGAGATCGTTTTTGACACAAATGTCTACGCTTTCACCCTGGAGTACGCCATGCCACTTCTGTTTGTTAAACTACCGCCTACATTTGCCAAAGATGTAGAGAACAACGAAAAAACATTAAACAGCAAAATGCAAGAATTAGCCAGCGCTTATTACAAGGTCTACAAGTACAACATAAAGTTCTTCGAAACGATGGTAAATGGAGCGAAGTTATCAATGAAGGGAGCACCCAAATCAAAAGTCTTCTTAGAAAAGTGGCTGGAAACCTTTAAGACCTTGGATGCTAAAATTCCGATGAGACCTGGGGAAAAACTGAAAACAGAGGAGGACCTGAGACTGGCCCATAACAATCAGTACCAAGCCCTGGTGAAAGAGATGTCTTCAAAAGGAGGATACAAACCGGCATTGTTAGGTAATCATAACTGAGTTAGCAGCACTCCAAGCTGGCTGTAAGCGTTTTGGTCGCCATGGCTAGCGGGTAAAATTTTGACCAATTTTTCAATTACATCGAAAGTCGTCAAATTGACGACCTGTGTTTGGCGGTCAAGTAGCGAACTGAAACGTTTTCAATCTGATTTTATGATCCGTAGTTGAGGTGAGACAGCCATTTGTATAAAATAATAATACCGCTCCTTCGTTGCCTCCTCGGTTTTGCAAGTGTCCAGCTTGAGATGTCGCGTAAAAACGATTGCTAGCCGTATTACGACCACATTTCTTCGGAAAGTCAACCCTACTTCCATACTGATCACATCAAAGTTTACCACCTCCTACCGAAAAAAAACCACACTCGATTTTTATTCAGAGATAGCAATTCCTGGTTTAATGTTTCGGTAATTTTCTTCAAACAGATGTTCTTGCAAAGGCCCTGATCTACGCAGCTGAAGCTTATCACACGCGAGGCGCCATACGACATGTAGTGGGTGGCACACAAATGAACGTGATTGACATATCGACGTCACTTTCGCTTATGGACCTGTGGGTATCCATGATCGAAAACTGGGGAGAGTCAAACAAGGAGTTTGGCCATTGTCAGATGGAACCTCTGGAGGTATGCTTCCTTAAGATGAGTAAGTACATGTGGAGAATGTTTAACGCAATGAACTTAATCCGTAATGAAATAAAACCCGAAAACAGGCTTGGTTTGGTGCACTTTGGAGAGGGCACGGGCGATCCTGAGTATGCAATGAGAATGTGGCTCGACTATAAAAGGCAAGGAAAGACCGCCATTCCAAGGCAACAGGACAAAGTTCTACAGTTTTTGAGACAATTCAAATGCGATAATGCCCAAATCGGTCAGCCGATATCGTCGACTTGCATCGCGAAGATGAATGAAAAAGTCAACGCCTACAACGAGAGATTGGCTGCGCAGTGGACCGACGAACCTGTGCCACCGCCCTGGCACTACTGAGAGCTTAAATCGTGATATTTACTGCTTTTCAATGAGGCAAGATGCAGTCCAAAAAAGTAAATTTAAGTGACTATGTATGTCTTTCTTCTCTTACGATAACAATATCGTCTTTAATGTAACTATTAATTTAAATTATTCGGCCAACCCGCAAACAAATTTGGTCACTGTACGCGATTAAATGTACTTTCTTCTAGTTAATTTCTGTTCGTATTTTTTCTATATCATTGTAAATCATGTTATGTTAAGTTGTTTTTACTGTAAACAGTGTGAAATAATAAAGTATGAAGTGTGACCATATCAACCAATAGTGACAATGGTACATATCACTAAGAGCCAGTGGGTGTATGGCCAGCTCCATCAGTGCTTCAAGTTTAGCACCTGATTTATTGAACAAAACACAAAAAAGCTTTAACAAGGCAATTTCAGCTAGTCTACATAATCACCTGACCCTTAACCCTTCAACCCCAGATCAAATTTGTAATTCTCCTTACTGTCAACCATACAATTCTTATAATGTTAATTCAGAGAATTTAGTATTGTATTAACTTATTATCCCCAATTGATATTTTTATTTATTGTCACCAATTACCTGGTTGATACTACATTGATATCGTAAGGAGAACTTCTGTCTTAGTCACTCATGGGAGTTAAAGGGTTAACTCTCATGAGTGACCAAGACAAAACTTCTCCTTACAATATCAATACAATGTCAAGCGAAAAAGAGCCAAGAATAAAGAAAAATATCAATTAGGAGTGATCCAATACCAAATTCTCCAGACTAACGTTATAGGAATTATATGGCAGATGGTAAGGAGAATTACTAATGAGATCATCAGAGTGAAAGAGTTAAAACTTATTCCACTTCTTGATGTTACCTACTTCTCGTTTAATTTTGTTGCATTAAAATGACTTCCTTTTTCCGTTTGAAATCGCGCGCATCACAGTGCACACTATGTATGCATTGCAATTAACAAAATGACATAATTTACCCATCAGGTGTGTACAACGCTCACTTACTTATTTACCAAAAACACGAAAAATTATCAAATGAATATGATGTGAATACGATATCAAGCAGCAAGTGATGCGAGTAAAGCTTTAAGCTTCTTATTACAGTTGCAGATACACCTGAATGTAATACTGGGATAGGAAACAAATGATTGGTAACTGACCGATGGAGCGAGGATTAACGCTTTTTCAAGGAAGTGAGAAATTTAAAGAACCTAGAATAATACCAAAAATAAATTGAAGTTGATATGCTTGTCAATGTGGAGAACCTCTCGAAAACTACTGAACAAATAGGAATGGATGCTGCTGGGATGCTAGAACACCCCGTCAAAATCCCTATGGCATAAAAGGCTGCCCTGGTAAGTAAAACAGCGAAGTTACAACACTCAATCTCAACTAGATTTTCGTCGCTCTAACCATGCTGGTATCTAGTTATCAAAGTACAATCAATCGAGATGTGCTCTATCCGGTAGATATAGCGTTATATGCAAAAATTACTGCCTAAAGGTTCGCGGGACAATATTTAGGAATGCTTAAATAGCTTACTGCTGTGATAAAAAATATTTGAAAGAAATATTTGAAAAAGTGCGATACAATTTTTAATTTTCGAGCCGAACATCCTGAATCGGACGAACACCAGGAGGGCACCGACGATTGCCCTGGAAGTGTCTGTCTAACTGTGGCGAGTTTACTAACTGGAATAATCAGATCGTGGAATATTCGAGGGAAAGAAGCCAAGTCTCTTGGTCGATTTTCACAAGATGGTACGCTGCTGTTGAAATATACCACCTCAACAGCGATGAGGTTGACTGGCTGACATTGCCAAGTTTATCATTTAGGCGTTCAGTATTCAACTCCTTGATGGCATCAAATTCTTGAGATCATTATCTGTCAAGTTTGTGTTCTGTACATGACCTTCAGATCATGTCTTCATCAAGAAGGAAGGCCCTAAAATGTATCAAAACTCAAAGAACGGAGCGAAAATTGTCTACACAGTGAATTGTAATAACCTCACGCTATTCTCGACAGTACGTAACCAAAACACAAGACATGGCGAAATGAAATTATCTCATATTATTCTTAACAGTACGTGACCAAAACGCCTTGTGATGGTCGGCTTTTGCAGCGAAGCGCTCTGCCTCTATTTTATCAATAGAGGGAACAAAAGCGATTGGACACCTTTACGCATCAAACTGGAAGAACACAGTGTATATGCCCTCCGCGTGACCAAATCCCTTAAATTTTTTCACGGTACAAAAACTATGACAGATCATCTTTATGACAGGGTTTTGATAATGTTTCGTAATTTTGTTTATTTTGCTGGCGCTTTTATTGAAACGCTGATTTTGTGGCTCTATTCCTTTAAAGTAGATCTTCAAAGTTTTCCCAGTTGCAAATTTTAAACCACTGAAATATGCAACGGTCAACTAAATGAACACACTGTTAGCCAAGCGTGTTAATCCGTCAGAGCAGAGTGCATTTTTCAATTAATTAAATTCAAAACTCACGAACACAACTGAATTTCTAAAGCACATCACATTCGGTAAACGTATAGCAAAAATGACCTACATTTTATCGAGAGTGATGCTTTTTTTCCGGTGAAATATTATTACTTCAATACAAGGTACGAGTGTTAAAATCGGATGTAAATTCCTTAGTCCGAAAAAAAATGCGTGACAAAGACACAAAACAAAAAAAAAACGTTAATAGTAAACAGTCAAGTTTTTACTAACCGTGGGATGTTTGTTTACAAAAAGAAATATTTCAGCATAACAATCCGATCATTTACTGAATCGCTATAAATTTGCGCGCGTTTTGACTTGGTAAGCCAAACCGTCACAGCTAGGCGTACACGCAGCGACTCTGAAGAGTAAAATAACTATCTCAGGAAATTTTGGTAAGTGGGCCTATTGTCATGACTAAATCTAGCCTCCACTTCAGTGAACCATTGCAATTTCGATATCTAGCTGTTTTGGAGACATTTTTCATACGTTTAGCGGTATGTTTTGGAAAAAATATATAATATCGAAAATTGTTCAGATAATTTCTCTAGTTCTGTCGCACCCTGTACAAATCTTCTTGGAATACTCCTTCTTATACATGCCTCATGTCTAAGTGTTTGTTTCAACTTGACGTTTGCATTTTTTTGTTGGGATGGTATAGAGGGTGACCATATTGAGTGAACATGTTGGAGTGTGAGATTCAAGATTGGACATTTTGAAGTCTTAGAATTACCTGATTTAAAGCACCGTGAATTCATTAGCGAGAGTTCTGTCACCTTCGCCATAAGAAATTTATCTTTCCATCGCTAGTTTTTATTCTATTCCTCATATGACAGAGACAAAATTCAAATTTGTAGTTGGGCAGTAAAAAATTTTGAATCCATAGACTCTTAGGTCGCATCCACTCGGTCATTTAACGGTCTCAAATCTTAATTGATATATTGGACCCCAAGGTGTCTGTTGTGTGACTTCAATTGAAGCTAATTCGGGTTCAAACTAAATAAAGGAATGTCACGGAAAATTTACGTTGACCATTGCGCGCGTAAAATTATGTTCAATTTTCAAAAATATAGGCAATAAACGAAGGTTGACCAAGTTGGACTAGGTTAAATAAAAAATGTTGAAATGGCCGAACACCAGACAAATCCTTACAAAAGGTCGAGAATAAATGATCACTCAATAAAGTTCCCACAGTTTGAATTTGTTTTTGTGAGCAAATTAACACGAGTGGTATTCAATAGCATTGACATTCTTCATTTAACGTATAACGCTCCCGCACGAAAGGTTTGATTGTTGCAGCTACATGAGTGGTCTTGAGAGGCAAAAAAACACATTATCTTACAATGTTTTGATGCCATGATTCTAGCGCAGCAGGAAAAAACGTGTGAACCGGTTGAATATTTCTCTGTTCGGGCACTAGGTCTAGTTTCCATGAAATGTCTGATCGAAATATTCGAAAATTAACAAAGGTCAATCTATCCATTCACCCTATTTTCCATTCACAAGTTGACTCAAGGAGTCCTGTGCTTGTGCAAAAGTCAAAGAAAACTCCAAAAGTGAGCGAACAGTTGTTGTGCTTTAATTTCTTTAACTCGTTCTTATAATTCTTGCTCTAAACTCTTTTCGCCTTGCGTTCAGAGTCTAGAGAAAGGGTAAAAATAAAAAACCCTGGGTTGAAAATCTTGAACCCATGAAAAATTCGAACCCGAGAACGTGAATTTAACCACTAATTGAAGAAACATTGAGTCTAATGGAACTCAAGTTGTAGCATGTAATATCTGCTTTTGCACGAATGCACTCAAGGAGACAGTTTGGGTTATACATTTAAATACAGTGTAAACAATTGCTACAGTAATCAGGTAATTTAGTGTTAACAACTGGGTTGAAAACGTAAATTAGCCACCGTAAAGGATAAAAAAGCTGACGTTTCGAGCGTTAGCCCTTCGTCAGAGCGATAGACGAAGGACTAACGCTCGAAACGTCAGCTTTTTTACCCTTTACGGTGGCTAATTTACGTTTTCAACCCAGTTGTTAACACTAAATTACCTGCTATACTCTCCCACCGACGCAGCACCACAGTTTCTTTAGAAACTTACCCCTTTATTCATTTGCTACAGTAATCAAACGATTTTTTTTTCAAACCCCCAATTAAAGTCAAGTGTGATTAACAGAACCCTGATATAATCGGTCCGTTGCATGGAACGAATCTTAATTATCTCGGTCTCTTAGCACTTTTTAAGTTTTAAGTTCCAATGAATATTCCAATGAGAAATCAATGGATTTCTTTCAATCAACCGATTTACAGCAGTGCGCGAGTCAATCGAACCTCCGCATGATGACATCACTATTGTGTATCATCTTATTTTCTGTGACCTTACAAGTCAGCAATGGTGCTCGTATGGGACCAAAGACTCCTCAACCTGGTGATTTCAGACAGTGCCGTCTGAGCGACAAGCTAAAGGAGCAGTTTGTTGATCTTCACAATGAGTTTCGGAGTCAGGTAAAGCCAAGTGCAGCGGACATGGAGTACATGGTGAGTTAAACAGTCTTCCTTGAGGAAGTTTAAAGGTTTTCTTTGAAGCCACCTGTTGCCTTGTAATATTACATTTTCTGATTGGCCGTTGCCAAATCCCTTCGTCAAGGCGAGGGACTTAGGGCTAACGCTCGAAAAGTCAGCTTTGAAACTTTTTACGGTGGCAAATTTACGTTATCAACTCAGTTAATAATACTAAATTACCCTGCTAACTCTCCCATCGATACAGCACCAGTTTCTTTAGAAATTTACCCTCTTTATTCGTTGCAATTATGGTTTTGGCTATTTAAACGTGAGAACGAAAGGCGCTAGATATGCTACGAAACAATTTCACTGAATTCTTCATCTTGTATCGATTCAGGTGTGGAATGATGACCTTGGTAACCTGGCTCAAATGTGGTCGGATAAATGCGAGTGGATGCATGGCTTTACTAGGTTTGGGGCGTGGCACCCAAACCAAAATTTTCGAAGCAAGTCTGTAGGTAATTGAGGAAGAAATAAACGATCACTACCGGAAAACTACATGTTAAGTTGCAATTTGGGTTAATTTTTCTAATAAGCCTACCATTTGTAAGCACGCTGGTCGTCTAAGATCATCGCAGGTAATTTCATGAAGGCAATTTTAGTACTGTCCAAAGGATTGTAAGAAAAACTAAACGTTCGTTACTGACATGTAAAATTTTAGAACTTGAGAAGCTCATAGAAGAGATAATGATTCAGATGCATGTAGGGAAACTGAGAGGATGTTTCCGCCCCACTTTTATCATAAGAGGAATTTTATCGTAATAAAAGCACATCAAAAGCAACTAGAAAAGATAGCAACAGGCAAAAATTTACCTTGAAAACAAACAATCAAACAGAAAAGAAACGTGATTCATTCCGTCGAAAAAAGGTTTTCTTTTTCTCCTTCTCTACAATGACAAACACCAGGTCAAAACTTGGCCCGTGAGTGGGGCAAGTGGATTGAAAGTAAAGATGCTGGCCCCGAAGATTCTGTGCGTCGATGGTTTATTGAAAAAAACTATTACAGTTTTTCAAAGTTTGCTTATCCGATGCCTTCATGGATGTGCCGCAAAGAACCATGTGGGCACTATACACAGGTTAGTTTACGGATCACGATCATAATGCTGGTAACAAACCAACTCATAAGTAGCTTTGTAAAGACATTCGCTTGTAAATATGCACCCTTCGAGACGCTCTTTTTCTCACTTGTTATACATATGTGGACGCATGAGATTACATCTGCAAAAACAGTCGATGAAAGAAGCTGTAAGACTACAGGATAAATCAAGGTTTTCGACAACTTTTTTTGACAAGCACGTCTGATCATATTGCAAAGATATTCAGAGGTTAAATTGGGAGCTAAGATATGATTTGCGCATCTCGCATAATTTCTATGCTATACATTCATTCTTTTCAATATTCTGTAAGCTCAACCACCATTTCTTTTTGCTTAAGAATAAACTCTTCACGCGTTCAAAAATTATGGGATACTCTCATATCGCATTGCAAAATATTACATAGCATTGAAAACAGCGTCAAAGTATCGTGACATTGCCCCATTTAATTAAAGCTGCGCGAAAAGCTACGACTTGGATAACATAAAACAGCCCCTGTTTTCGACTTCAAAACTCTAAGCATTACCTTGTAAGAACGTCATTTTCGTCTCGCTTTCCTTACTTAAGGTTGTGTGGGCCAAGAGCAAACAGGTTGGATGTGCCTTTAACTGGTGTGACAAGGATTTTGGTCAGCCTCACCCCTGGGTCCCTGGAGAGACAGTTGTAACTTGTGACTACTTTCCAAGGTAGGTGCTGGACAAAGAGATTACTGCATGGAAAGTGCACACAAACGATTTTTATTCACGAGTTACGATGCATGAAAAAACCGAACGACTAAGCACAGCGAACGAGTGAGTTTTTTTTATGCATCGCAACAAGTAAATACAATTGTTCAAGTATTTTCCATGGAATGTTTTTGTTTCATACATACCGACATTTACACTGTGAAGTATGAAGCGAACGACTGTGAAAATACATCGTTTGTCCAATCAGAGAAACGAAAGATTGTACTACACAGTGTAAATCTTAATTTGTCTGAAATAAATTTTCTAAAGAGACGACACAGTCTGCGTCAATAACAAACAAATGATGAAGAGTATTTCATTTGATTTATTTTCTGGAAGAACAGGTCGATAGTTTTGAATAAATCCTGAAAACTTTAAATTCTTTGAAAAGTAATGCACGTGTTTACAAGCTCTATTAAATTGTTTAGATGGAGTCGGTCCCGATTTTGTCTCCTTAGAGAAAACTAACTTACAATTATTATCTAACAGATTTTCTTATCATTTTTGCAGTGGTAACGTGGTAGGACAACAACCCTACACGCCTGGAACTCCATGCACAAAGTGCGCTAGCGGCCAGGGTTGGTGCTACAAGAATCTTTGCAGTGAGTATAAAAAGAAGGTCAATAGGGAAAAATGGCCTCAAGCTACAAATAGCTCTAACTGTCATGCTTGAACTTTCTACAGGAGAGTGTAAGAATTTTAGCCCGAAATGTGGAACTACCTACACGAAAGGCATGTGCCTTACAAACAGAGAACTGATGGAAAAATACTGCCCTAAGATGTGCAATCTTTGCAGTGAGTATAGTTTTGAGTAAAACATAGGATGTCTCCATTCAGGGCCCGTTCTATTTTGCCACAAGAACATTTCCTCCTCCATCAATAAAGTCTGTTTTACTGATAATAAAGAAAGAGGTGGGCAGGAATGGAAAAGGAGGTTCGGAGCGCAAAATAATCTTCTAAGGAAGGGTCAGTGACAAAGTTCTAGATGAGGTTGTTTCGCGAATCTTTCTTAAAAGTAACTTCTTTCACTTTTTGGTTGTTTAAATCCCAACCAGTTGTCTTTAGTCAGCTTTATAGAGGTTGTTCGGAATATTACGTTCTGTTATCGAGCTGTTTCCTAGTTTACTGAGGAGGTTCATTTTTTTCCAAGCTTCTCACTCCGAAGAACTAATTTCTAACCTTCTTCTAATCTGCTGTGCAAAGCATATAGACATCAAAAGTGATTTTTGTGCTTATCATATTTCTCGACCGATCTCTGTTGAAATTTTGCAGGATGTCCCTTACAGTGCAAAAACGGAGGACAAGTTGACCGTAACACTTGCACTTGTACCTGCTATGGCAAATGGAAAGGCTCCGATTGTTCTGGTAATAAAAAGTACAAGTTTATTACCTAAGTTGTTTATTTAAAGTTTTAAGGCAAAAAAAAAACCCAAGCTTGAAAAACAAACTCCCACAGCCTTAAGAAAGTCACTTGACTTTATTCACAGCGCGACTTTTTATGCAATTTTTAGTGTGTTGAGGATAACTCGGGTCTATTGATCGTTGATGGTACAACAAAACGGAAGAAAATGGCGATTTAAATTAATTCATCGAAAAAGGTTACTCAATATATATATGCAAGCTGGATTATCGCTTATAGACATAGAAAATTTCTGGGGTGATTACCTATCGCAAAAGGCGCGATCAACTCACGAAACCCGAGGATCCTGGCTCACTAACCTAGCTAAATTAAGGTTATCCGTTAATTTTTCTTTCACGCACATAGTGTGCCCTACATAGTTCAAACTTCATTTCTTCCATATTTAGTAGTTCTTTTGTTTTGGAAAATTAAAGTTTTTCAAAGCCTCAAGTGGACTATGGTCGGTAAAGGGCCAGAGATAAAAGGCTGAAAAAGCTTTCAAAGTGCATGAAGGACTAACCACTCGCATGTATTTTCTTCAGAGAAGATCTGCGATGAGGGGTGGTACGGAGAGAAGTGTGAAAGTAAGTCAGATCAGTCCAATTCTAGCTACACAACGATTTAAAGGGAACTTCACTTTTTAACTTAGTGTGTGCCGCTGAAACAATTATTCACGATTATGTCAACTGAGACCTCGTAAAATGTCAATACAATCGACTGAGGATCTGAAACTCGAGGAAATATTTGGTTGGAATGGTAATAACGTTCACTAAGCACAGTTAAGACTTGGTGGTAACTTGATCGTGACTCGTATGAACCAATTCAAGTGCAAGGGGTATTTTCTAGGGAATGAGTACAAAGGAAGTTCCAGATGGTATTCAAATAAGACGTTGCTCGCTTTATCGAATAGTTCTTGCAATTACCACCACTGTAAGTAACGAAGTCTAAGCGTGCAAAAGATTAAGCGACTTTAGCATACCGGATTCTTGTAAACCAAATAATCAGTTAACAAATCAACAATACAGTGAGAAAGTAGTTCTTCAAAATGTTGAATTATGTAAAACGTCTTCACATTTTTAAAAACTGAGATACCTTTTCTCCAAACAGAACGGTGCTTCGACAAAGTGGGAACATCTACATGCAAGTGGCGAGTCCAAAACGGCCATCCATGTTCAGTAACATACATGAAGCTCGACTGCGTCAAGACCTGTGTTTGTGGTACAGTAACCCCTTTGAATCGTCTACGCGTTACCTAGTCTCCAACTTTTCTTTTAGTGTTCTTGCTGTATTCATTTATACCTGAAGGGCACAGGAACTTTTAGTTGTGCTATGTAAATCTATTCTTTTGATCTCAAACTACTATTACAAATTTTTTAGAACTAATTTATAATCGTTTTTCATAAAGCATTATCTAAGTTATAGCTTTAAGTCAGTTATTTAATCTAGACGTATTTTTCTTCTCTTCCATTTTCAGATCTCATGCCAAAACCCAAGCCCAATCCACCACCAAAACCACCGACAAAAGCCCCAGTGACTGTCAGACCTACAAAACCCATCTCGGGATCTGGGACAGGTGTGGATTGAAAATCGATTGAATAAAAAAACAAACTTATTTTCATAAGGACTATGAAATCAAGAGGCCCTCAAACTGAGTATCTGAACTATATTCTTATCGTGATCACTAAGCGCATTACTCGGTTTATCCCACAGATTGTAAAGACAAATACACAGCCCCTAACCAATGCGATTTTTGGGCGACACTTGGAGAATGTCAGAAGAATAAAAACTGGATGAGACAGAACTGCATGAAGAGCTGTGGAGTTTGCAGTAAGAGTCAAATATATACTTTCACAAGACTCATATCTCAAATTTCACCCTTACTTCACTACCATTACCTAAATTCATCACATATCTCTTTTAAAAATCACATACTATTCCTTTCTGTAAAATATATCAAGACTAATTTCAGGGCAAAATAAGGAACAGTCATGTATAAAGTAGAAAAGAACATCCCATGACAGGATCTTTTACAGAGGACTCTCGAACAGTATACTTATCTTAGCTAGTTTCAGGAAAAAAAATTGGAGTCTAAAAGAAAAAGATCGTTATTACAATAACAAGAATCACGCAAAGTAAGTGGCGAACTGTGAGGAAAGGACGTTATATATTATATGTTCACTGATTATATAGACTTGATTAATATTCATAGATTGCCAGGATGTGTACAACACCGTAAAGTGTAAACAGTGGGCCGATAAAGGAGAGTGCAAGAAAAACCCCAATTGGATGGAGCCGAACTGTGCTAGGAGCTGCCTTGTTTGTGGTTGGTGAAATAAAAATGTAGACTTTGTGGTTCTTTACTAATTACTTCCAACGGCTGACTCAATCAATAATCTGACCACCTGTCGAACTGAAGTTGATCAAGGCATATCTACAGGCTGAGAAAAGTTTCAAAAAGTAGCTTTGTTTCGATAGTTCTGCGGTGTGCTTTGATCCGCAGTCCGCGTAAAAACCACATCTAGTCAAGCAAATATTGAATTTCTCTGAATTGAGACTCTGGTTGGCTTTGAAGTATATCAACGGCTTTTGAGTATCATCGATAAGAGGTCAAAACAGTGTAAAAGACAAGTGACAACAGAGTTACTAATTAGGATTGTTTCCTAGTCACCTCTTACAGTTTTAGGCTGGTACGTAATCTTCTACAATCGCCAGAGAGTCGTAAATTGATGACCCGGTAAAAAACATTAACAACATTGCTGCTGAAGCTTATTTTAGTTTCTGGCCACTGAAGGTCTCTCAACCCCCCTCAGAATTGAATCAAATTTCCCTGGCTATGAATATACATTGTACTTCTTGGTGGAGAGAAGTACGGCGAGAGTTGAGTGTCCTGCGCACGTCTGAGGCACTGCGCATTCCACGGAATAGTGGCACGATAAGATAAATATCAGGCGCTCTACTAATATATGAAAATAAACATTGCATTTCCTGTTTTATCAACAGACTGTTTTGACAAACACTCGAAATGCAAGCAGTGGGCTGGACTTGGAGAATGTGGAAAGAAATACGCAACATGGATGGAGGAAACTTGTAAAAAGAGTTGTAATAAATGCAATGTTAAGGGTTGAATAGATCCGATCTGTTCATCTTTGAAACAATTTTAGTTTTAGCAAGATCCTCTTTTGTCTAGATATGCAGTGGAGACCATTCGATAGGCTTTGTTCAGCGCGCGTTCCACCATACAGGAATTGGGTGTCTGAGGCGTTGATTACACCATTTAACCTTGACATTTTAAAGATTGCATAACAACAGTTTTCAATTAAATATCGACACATCAAAACCAAAGTAATCAGAACAGCCGATCAGAAAAAAACGTTTACATCGTCACAACGAAAATAAACACAATTGCACAATCTGGCCCATTTTGAAAATGCTTGTAACCATAACGTTCTGTCCTTTTCGTCTCTTCTCGATAAGTAATACTTCCGGAAGTGATTAACATGTAACTTCTCCCTATAATATCCATTATTATCTACAAAATCAGTTAATAAGAATACTCAAACTTATCAGTTAGAAGTTTTAATCTTGATCTAACACCTAATTCTCATAACCAAATTAGAAGGAAATGTGTAACAGCTCGAGCGGAGAATTAACAGTCAGATCTTGGGAGTCAAAGGTTTAAGCGAACATAAGAAGAGGGTGATCTCGATCGAGTCAGGAGGAATTTCATCACACAGCATGTATATGAGTTTGAGAAACAAAATGCTCCAACAGAGCTTCGTCAATGGGTGGGGACTTCATGAGACCATAACCTCTGCGATACCGGTGCAGCGCTCTACCAACTGAGTTAACGAGCCAACTGGGAGCTGGCCATTATGTTGGATCCAAATAAACCTTCGAAGTGGTGAATAATAGCTGTAAACATATGAAAATCATATGTGTGTACTGCGGTTGAAGAAACGTATTTAGAATCAATCCCACCAGCTAAGAACACTACTGAACTAGTCGTTAAAACAAGGCCTGAAAAAAGAATCACATTTTTCGTGACCAAGATGACAAATATCACCCCATACATGATCCGCTTTCCCTCAGATATCCTCTTTTCAAAATGCAAAACTCTTTCCATGTAAATCTGCTCTCCACGTGGGCGTACAAAGTAAATTAGAAATGCATAGCACAGCTGGTTACTCTTATGACATCACCAATTTGAAGAGGGTCCGTTTAAGCGTGAAACACACAAGGGGCTGTCCTTACTAAAAGCCTCACAGGGTTGTCCAAACATTAAAAGTCAGGTGCTGAGGTATTGGCACGCAAAATATCCGTGTACGGTCAATTTGCGTTTCTCTCTCTCTGCTAAAACCAGAACGAAAAAAATTAACAGAAGGTAAGTCCATATCTGTCTGTGATAGTAAAGACAAAAATTTCACTCGATCTTCTCTAACTTCGAACTAAATAAAAAAAGCGAAAAAGAATGCAGTAATTGATAGAAGTAGGTTCTCTGTGGTGGTACGTGATAACAATTTTTTTTTTCGGAAGAGCGCGAGGCTGAGCGAAAATAAAGAAACGTAACGTTTAAGACAGTTTCAAACTTAGTTCGAAAACGAAGATTGAAATGTTGGGATTCCGGTTTGGATTTCTTTTAGCACGTTTGAATTTCTTAGATATATATCCATCACTTGAAGTCTACAATTGAGGTTGTGGTTCACTTCGCTGAGATGATCGGAGATCGTCGCTTCATGAGACCGAAGAAAGTTACGCAGGAGTTCTGCTATTAAAGAAATTTCAGAAAAGAAGGCCTAAAAAAAAATTCAGTCTTTGACGTGATTCGAACCCTCCCTGAAATCAGTTGGGCGCCACTGCGCGCTCAGTTCATGATAGTTGGGCCTAAGCAGTATGGGTTTGAGTGACAGGGACACCTGAATGGTTATAATGAACATGAAACTTCTGAGTTGAACAGAGCTCTCGTCATGTTTTCTCCTGTAAACGACGACTGTTACTATTACAAATAATTCAATTTTTGAATCGTTAAATCTTGCTCTTCAATGAGTCGTTTCCAGTACGAAAAAAACAGCGTCTAAAAGAAACACCTATTTTCAATTCGTCATTTCATTCAAGAAAGACTTTAAACGTACACGGAATTTAAGCCTCTGTGGTTTGACCCTTAGAGGACAAAAGAATGATGAAACGAAAACACGACACTGGAAGCGCCATCCCTTCCCGTTGATCGAAGAACGACGGAGAAAATTTCGTTTCTGAACGCAACTCTAATTTTGAATTTTTTTCATAATCTCGACCATATACAGCTGCACTACTTTTAAAGGTTTTGAAGTCGCCCAGGGGAGCTTTGAATAGGCAGGTGACGTATTAATTTTTATGGGACAGAGCGAGGGCGACTGAACAAGTGCTGAAAATTTATATAACGTAAATAGTGCCCTTATAGTTGCACCCAGAAAGCACCCGATCCGTTAACTCATTTTAAGCTACAGGAGTATTAAGTCTATCAATTGCGTTGATAGAGCACTTTCTCGATGACTGTAAAAACTTCTATTGTGCTTCAGTGAATTATTTATTATTTATTGTCTCCATTTATAAATCGCGGCACCCTACATTTGTAATGAAAACTGAAGTCATATTCAAATGAGCAGTTAACTGCTTCTTACTCGCTCGCGTTTTTTATGTGAGGACCCCTGAGTTCTCCAGTAAAGTGGATTATGATGGGCTTTTGCAGTTCTCTCTTTCACTTGATGACACTGCGCAGAAGACCACCGAAGCACGGTTTTTCAAACTGGTATTCAAAATTTAACTAATTAGTATTGTGTACACTCGTAACAATTGTCGCGAATTCGCAAAACCCCGAAAGTTAAGAGAAGAAGCTTTTGTTGCCACTGTCTGCCTTACGAAAAATGTGGCCTCGAGTTTACATTCTTCTCAGTAACAAAATATAAGCACCTAAGGCAATTTCTTGGTGAGCAGTTAATGAAGGAAGTCGAAACGACCAACATTACCCGTAGAATGGCACAATAGTTAACGGGTATTAGGTTCCACAACCAATTGAAATTACCTGCATGGTCCTTAACATTAGAAAATTACCTTACGGTCGGTGGATCCAAGAATTTGCCAGCCACCCACGCTTGTTTCCGGATGTCCAAATCTTACGAAATTTTAAGACAGTCTTAAAAAAGATAATAAGTTAAAAGTAGACTGCTTTGTCTAAACACGGTTTACCACTCTAGTTTTGTTTCTAAAACAAATAGGAAGATATCAAGTGAAATTAACGTTCGCACGCCATATGCATCCAGGTAAGAAGTGTTAAATTTAACGACGATTTTTTTTTAATCAACTTTTTTCTTGTGAGTGGGCATATGCTATTTATTCTTAGTATAAAAAATCACACACGGAAAATTTAGTTTCAATATCACTGATTCCCAATTTGTGGTAACACAGTTAAGTCTATAGTTACAATACCAGGGAGGAAATAATTACAGCTGAATTATCAAGATCTTCTTTCACTTTAGGCTAAGTAAAAATTTCATGTTTTCTAACACAAAAGCTCCTAAACCCAGTGGAAACGTCAGCCCTCCTATATCATTTTCGTAAAAAATTATTTCAACCCCGATACGTTAAGCTAAATTGTTCCTAGAACATCCAAAATCTCACTACTAAGATAGAAATGTACAAAATATACCGTAAAAATGACTTCAACGCCATAAAATCTCCTGCTTACGCGCTCATCTGAATCTATATTTCAACACCTTTCCCCTTTGTTTTCTACTTGGTCTCATTTTTGCGTGTCTCTTTTTTTTTTGTTGCCTCTTTCCGTGTTACCCCATGAACTGCTACAAAAGGCAGAGAAAAAGAGCCAAGAACGATAAAGATGAAATTTTAGGCTATGGGCTGTAGCCTCTGCGAAAGTAGCTCACGTCACCCCGCTCTCACAACTCCGATGACAAAGTTTAATGTTTTCAAGACAAATACATCTCTCGCAAACTAAGAATAGAAACGTCACACGAGCATGCAAAAATACGACTGAGAAAACATGGAATATCTTCTTGGTAGATTGCAACCTGTGAACAGCCGCCCTCTCCTTGATAGATTTCTTCAAAATGATAGAAAGGAGTTACGAGATTACCATCAATTCGACTGCCTTCCATATGAACTAGTCTTACTAATCCATCAAATCCTACACCTAATTTTATTTTACCATTACATGTCTAGGAAAAAGGGGAACCTGAACTTCATCAAGTTACATTTCGGTATCTAAATAACATTTTACAATTGATAAGAGACACCCAAATACAAAACAAATTTAAAGTAGAAATTGTAATAATAAGTAAGCGTCTCGTCTGCTCCCTTTCACCTCACAATGCTACACTTCAAAAAAACATATCAGAAAAGTAGCTCATTGCATATCTATCAGATTTACCCCTTGCACCTAAACATCAGAATTTTCACTCTCCATATTATTCTGAAAATCTGGAGAATACACAAGTGCTAACAAGGAGAGTTTCGGTTTAACAAGCTTTAGCTTCCTTAGTTGTTGATCATTTCTTTTATTCTCATGACCTTTATGTGTGATTCGGGGGTTAAATTGTAGGGAGAAATAAGATGCTAGTCACTCTTAGGGACGAAGGGTTAATAGTTTAAAATTTGTTTTAATTGTGTTGTCTTCTTTGTGACAAATGTCAACACAAGACAATGAAAATTTATCTCTGAAATGTAATTAATCAGAGTTAAAACGGTGACTTATGACCTGTGTCTAAACACAATTGTTAACCAGGAACACAATCAACAACACACAGTACAGCACCTGATCTTAAATAAAACTAAAACATTATCTTATTGTCTTTTCAACCAATAACGGCAGGCAACGATTGTTTCTGAGGCGCAAAAGCTTATGAAATTTTAAGAGAGTTTTGGTGAAATATAACAATAAAATAAATTTCCTTAGTAAATTTGTTACAACAAGCTTGATCTGACTGCCCGTACGTTTCCTGATTTATTCTCAAAACAAAAACTGGGAGATCGACTCAAACGAACGTATTTGTTTTGTCGTTAGGTAGGTGATGTTAAATATGACGGTGTATTTCTCTTAATTTGTCTGTTGATGTTTTCTTTTTTCGTTGTTTTTTTTTTTATACATCCTGTAACAGTTTTAAGACGTACAGCAAAACACGAGAATTCCTAGTTCATGTTCCCGTAATTTAGTCTATGGCCACGCGAGAAATAAATAAATTTTATTATTGTCACGACAAAAACGCTTCGTTTGTTCCAGTTCCTAAGAAATCTTGAGCCATCAGATTGGTTCCGATTCACCTAAAATACTATTAACATCACGTGAAGCACACACTTTGCCGTTGAAGACAAGCAGCGAGTTATTATATCTCAGGCACGCACACAATCATATTTCTCCTTCTTCAATCAGCCATTTCTGTTTGTCCCCTCCTTCCTGTTCACGCTAAGAGTTTTAGAATGCTGGATTCAAGAAAGGGAACCGAGAAACACAAAGGACCACTATTATGGGGCAAAAGTTGACTGATATGAACCCTGAAGGGAAATAGAAATTTCGTTAACCCGGTTTCCTAGGTCTGAAGGCGGAACTCAGTTTTCAGAACGCTTAGGGGGCCCATAACCTACACGTCCATTTCTAGGAAGCATTTCTACATTCTTACTGTTTTTGTACCCTGTGACTTAACTAAACTTTGCTGTGTTATAAGTTTTTAGGCACTCCAAGATGATACTTGCTTTAAGTGTCCTAGTTTTCACGCTGGTTCACAGGAGTGTGGTAAGCTTTTTAAGCGATATCTCAAGACAATTAAAAAGATACATTCCTCATAGTCGACATCCAAATAATTTTGGAGAGACTGTACTCCTACGTGTAACTATAGAATGTACCAAATTGGGAAAATTTAAAAGTTCCAAAAAGCAGTAGACCGCACTATCTCAGTCAATACATAAACAAGTAATCCAAAGAATTTCTTAAAAATCAATTTTCATTCAATAGAGAGGAAATTATGGAGTCGTATTTGACCAAACCCAGCATTCCTTTCCACCCTTCATCACTCTCTTTCTCTTCACCGTGCCCCGCGTCACTTTGGGATAGTGATGAAGTTAAACTACGATTTCTTATGGTAATCGAGCTAAGTGGAGTGCAATTTGGTCTGAAATATAAGCATAAGCGTGGTTTGAAATCATAAGTATGATTTCAGACCAAAATTGCACGAAACGGAGTTCAATTACCAAGGGGGGAGAGGGGAGTGGTTGGAGAATTTTGTTTGTGTCACAATGAAATTTACTTGAATTGCCCTTATGATACCGTCCTCCCTCATTAGCAGTCAACTAGCAGTCAATTTACTATACCCCCCTTCATACTGTATTGGCGACGACAATCCCCCTTTCCCTCCCTCTAAAAACCATGTGTTACCCGTCATAATCCTCCGACCCCCCTCTCCCCCTCGTGTTAAATCATGACTGATACATAAAGAGTATAAATAGTCCATGATCTTTCATAAATCTGAATCAAGTTTCCCGATTCAGTCGAACTGGAAAATCACATTAACTGGCTGTTGTGCCGATTACTTTGATTTGAATCAGTTTAAGATACTTTACAAAGATGCACTCTAGCCCTACAAGTGAAACAAAAAAACTGAAAAAAATTACTCACTGTGTGGCTTGTCTGACAGGTGTGTGATGAACTGTACCCTATCTCACAAGTCGAGGACCTCCTCCAGAATCAGCCCGAGTGGACCTTGGCCGACTACAGTGAGCCTGTAGAGGGAAAACTTTCTGATGAACCGTAAGCTTACAATCACTGATATTTCAACTATCATGAATTTAGAACGATTTTGTGTAAATGCCGATATAAGTTATCGTGTTTGGATCAAGAGAGGACCTAACTGTGTCAATAACAAAATGCTTGAATATGAGCAGCCTTTAGAAGCCCTAATTTGGGATTTTCTAGCTATTTCAAGTCCAAAATGTTCGATTACAAACACTAACAGTCGGACAGGTCAAATCAGACAGTTGAGCAGTCACCTAAAATCAAGTACTTTACGCCATCATTCAATAAAACTCAGCTACCTACCGAATCAAAGTGAAAACTAATGACGTCAGGTTGATAGGTCCACATTAGAAACATAGTAACGTGGACAAAACTAACAGGTCCAGTTACTTTTACTCAGTATCAGTAAGAATGGTACGTGCTCTTACATGAAATTTTTCATTCCTGAGTTTTTCATGTTTTTTTATTGACACAATTCATTGGAAATCGGACTGCGAGTCGTACAACTAAGGGGTAACGCTGATCGTAATTTCAAATTACCCTTGCACTACGTACTCGGCCGATTTGAAATCCTTCGCCTGATGACTCCCTGAATTATACTCAGTCCTATCACCATCACATATCACGATAAAAATACTTCGCTGAAAATCCAATGAACTAATGAGCTTCGAAACTTCCCCACAACACAAGAGAGTTTGAATATGAATCTTGGGTCTTATTTCACAAAAACAGATTTTTAGCTTCAAACTTGCTTCAGAACGACCCCGATCAAGATGACCTGAAGTGGATGGAGACTGACATTGTGGCCAAGTATAAATTTAAGAAAGATCCCAAGAAAGATATATGGATATTTCAACCCAACTTCGCAGGACAAATCGGCACAACAGACTTTGCCAAAGATGCGGATAGGATAAAGAAGTTCTTTAAACGAAACAACGATTGGGCAGCTATGAAAAAAAAATTCCGCACCCCTACTAGCTGTCTTCAACTCCTGTACATCACTGCCGCTAGGTATCTCTTTGTGACACACGTTCTTTACGTTCTAAGTGGTAATAAGCTAAAACCTTGCGTGAGAACAACGGCAAAGAAAATTGAAATCCCTGACTCTGTGTGCTTTCCTGAGCCTTACGGATCGGCTTCTTGCACTTCGGACTACGACGTCGGGCTTGTTGGAAAAGACGCTGGTACGCTTACAGAGAAATTCAACAACTTTTTCCAAGACAGAAATGAATTCGGGAAACCCTCGGAGATCGTTTTTGACACAAATGTCTACGCCTTCACCCTGGAGTACGCCATGCCACTTCTGTTTGTTAAACTACCGCCTACATTTGCCAAAGATGTAGAGAACAACGAAAAAACATTAAACAGCAAGATGCAAGAATTAGCCAGCGCTTATTACAAGGTCTACAAGTACAACATAAAGTTCTTCGAAACGATGGTAAATGGAGCGAAGTTATCAATGAAGGGAGCACCCAAATCAAAAGCATTCTTGGAAAAGTGGCTGGAAACCTTTAAGAGCTTGGATGCTAAAATTCCGATGAGACCTGGGGGAGGAGTGACAGAGAGTGGCCTGAGACTGGCCCATAACAATCAGTATCAAGCCCTGGTGAAAGAAATGACTTCAAAAGGAGGATACAAACCGGCATTGTTAGGTAATCATAACTGGACCAGCGGCACTCCAAGCTGGCTGTAACCGTTTTGGTCGCCATGGCGAGCGGGTAGAATTTTGGCTAATTTTTCAATTTCAGCGAAAGTCGTCAAATTGACGACCTGTGTTTGGCGGTTGACTAAGTAGCAAACTGAAACGTTTTCAATCTTTGATTTTCCGATCCGTAGTGAAGGTGAAACAGACATTTATATAAAATAATATGATCGCTCCTTCATTACCTCCACGGTTTCGCAAGTGTCCAGTTTGAAATGTCGCGTAAAAACGATTGCTAGTCGTGTTACGACCACATTTCTTCGGAGAGTCATCTCTACTTCCGTACTGATCATATCAAAGTTTTCCACCCCCTACCAAAAAAAAAACCACACTCGATTTTTATTCAGAGATAGCAATTCCTGGTTTAACGTTTCGGTAATTTTCTTCAAACAGATGTTCTTGCAAAGGCCCTGATCTACGCAGCTGAAGCTTATCACACGCGAGGCGCCATACGACATGTAGTGGGTGGCACACAAATGAAAGTGATTGACATATCGACGTCACTTTCGCTTATGGACCTGTGGGTATCCATGATCGAAAACTGGGGAGAGTCAAACAAGGAGTTTGGCCATTGCCAGAAGGAACCTCTGGAGGTATGCTTCCTTAAGATGAGTAAGTACATGTGGAGAATGTTTAACGCAATGAACTTAATCCGTACTAAAATAAAACCCGAAAACAGGCTTGGTTTGGTGCACTTTGGAGAGGGCATGAGCGATCCTGAGTATGCGATGAGAATGTGGCTCGACTACAAAAGGCAAGGAAAGACCGCCATTCCAAAGCAACAGGACAAAGTTATACAGTTTTTGAGACAATTCAAATGCGATAAAGCCCAAATCGGTCAGCCGATATCGTCGACTTGCATCGCGAAGATGAATGATAAAGTCAACGCCTACAACGTGAGATTGGCTGCGCAGTGGACCGACGCACCTGTGCCACCGCCCTGGCGCTACTAAGATTTTACATCGTGATATTTATTGCTTTTCGATGGAGCAAGATGCAGTACAAAAATTAAATTAAAGTGATTATCTCAAACAAAAGTAACAATGGTACATATCAATAGGAGCCAGTGGGTGCTCAAGAAAAATTTGTCTGGCTCCATCAGTGCTTCAAGTTTAGCACCTGATTTGTTGAAACAAAACACATTTCACCTCAAACAAGGGAATCACTTGACCCTTTAACACTTCAAACCCATATCAAATTTGTAATTCTCCTTACTGTCAACCATACAATTCATATAATGTTAGTTCAGAGAATTAAGTATTGGATCAACTGATTATCCCCAAATTGACTCATGGGAGTTAATTCCCATGAGTGGCCAAGACAAAATCTCTCCTTACAATATCAATACAATAGCAAGCAGAAAATGAACAAGAATACAGAAAAATATCAATTAGGAGTAATAAGTTGATCCAATACCAAATTCTCCAAACTAACATCAGAAGAATTGTATGGCAGATGGTAAGGAGAATTACTAATGAGATCTTTGAAGTGAAAGAGTTAAAAACTTATTCCACTTCTTGATGTTACTTAACTCTCATTTAATTTTATATTTGCATATAAAATAACTTCCTTTTTCCATTTGACATCATAGGCATCATAGTATACACTATATATGCATTGGAATTAATGAAAGGACAGAGTTAACCCATGAGATCTGTACAATGCTCACATACCAATTTACCAAAAACATGAATAATTACTAAATAAATGTTATGTCAATAAGATATCAAGCAGCAAGTGATGAGAATAAAGAAAAATACCATTGAGGGGATTATCAGTTAAGCCAATACCAAATTCCCCACTATCACCATTGTGATAACAATGTCATGGCACTTGGTAAGGAGATATCTGCTGAGTGAAAGGGTTAACTAGCAAATGGAAACATTCATTTATTCTCTTATTTCAGTCCTCCTTGAAAAGAAACACCCTCTGAGTATTTGTGACAGAGTGAGAATTTGACAGCAGTTTCTCATCAAAACAGGGTATTCTTGAACATATGATATTTTTTGCTACTAAAAGCTATGGTTACCTCGATTAGTAAAAATGACTTTCATGAGAGAGAATCAAAAGCAGATTTTGGTTTAAGAGGGGCTTGCCAAAGTTTTGCTCGGGAATGTTTCAAAACCACAAGTAAAATTCAGTCAAACTTTAGACACCGTGTGCCTAGGATACATGTTAAAGTCATATTTCCTTTTTGCCCTTTGCATGAAGTCTACAGGGTCTGTACCCCTTTCTAAAAAACAATTTTCCAGGATTTTCTCTAGGCTATTTCCTGGACTTGGATTTATTTTTTTTCAAGATTAGGAAGATTCACATGAACTTTAAGATTTTCAGGAATAACCATTTTTATCATGATCTGCAAAGTCAAACTGACAAGTGATGAGAATTTGGAAGAATATGCATGAAAAATAACAACAAGTTCGATTGAAAGGAATTATCCATTCCTGGAAATTCAATGGTAAACTCGGGACTTTGTGGGATTTTTTCTGAAACCTGTAGAGGCCATGGGTCTGAATGTTCTACTTATAGGGACTCAGTTTCATACTTAGGACAAAGAATCAAACAGTTTATGCCTAACCAGGCTTATAAACACCTGTCCATAGACACAAGCCACAAAGATGTTGGACCAGTGTGCATTATTTTGAAGATTGCTCAATGCGGAATGCTGTCTGTGCAGGTTCAAAAATCGCACAGGATATCATTACGAAGCAATGTTTTGTTTGCATACTTTCTGGTAGGCTGGCCAATTCTAGTCCAAGTTATGCTGAGGTTGAAGGAGCGAAGCTAAAATTCGTGTTCACACAAAAAAACCTTTTTTGCGTCATTAAAGGTCATGGATAGCATTTTCTGGAGAAGAGCTCCATGCAACAAATGGCTCTATCTTCTGGTGACAGGTAAGGATCCAATACAACTGATATAAACCCTATTTTTAGAATGGTCGTTACTTTTGAGAGATTTAAAGGTGAAAATACTTTTCCTGGCTGCAATATTTAGAATTCAACGGTGTACTCTCACACCGGAACTGAACACATAGAAAACGTGTCAACAACTATCGATAAAATTTGCAAAACAAGACAATCAAAAAGTTGATCGTTGAGTTAAAAAAAAAAGGCCAATCACAATAGCATTTTATCCCATAGTTTCTCACCTGGAAATACTGCTTTCAATGATTCGATGGCAGTCGTTCTATTCTTTTGAAAACAATACGATCCCACAGAATGAAGGACGCAAAAAACCTCTATTGTTTTGCTCTTTCAAAGTAACCGCGCTTTTGGTCATTTATCGTCAGCCCGAAAGAAGCTGGGAACTGGTTGATGAAAATCTGAATACGGAATATTGGATATGGAACTGTGGAACGAAACCGCGATCAATATATGACAAAAACAAATGAAAAAATTAAGTTAATCAAAGAGTCGAAAAGAAGGCTAAAAAAAGATAAATTGGGGGCTATTGCTAGTACGCCATTGATTCATTCAGCCTTGTGTTCAAAACTGACTTACAACCTTAATCAATAACAATATTTAAGTCGACTGAAGCTCACACCAAAAATCTGTCCGCTCTTTGACATGTTTTGACACGAAATTTGTTAAAACATTTAAGTTGCTACAAAGAAAGCCTCGCACAGAATGAATGCCTCTATGAAGCACTTGGTACACTTGCAATTTATTGATTTAAAAAAAGTAGGCTTCTATTTCAATCTCTTCTCGGGTAACAGGCAACTATTAATGCTGGCAGCATTAAGTTGTTGTTGGTTGGGGGGAAAGATGGCAAGTTAAGAAGATGCAAAAAGAGAAACTTTAAAATGGATTTTTCTTTTATTCAATTCTCTTCATTTGATTCATTGAGACATAAATTTAATGATTGCTCCAACTGGTCTTACTTAAAATATTGTAAGAAGTTCTCATTTACATCAGCCACAGTCTTATTGCAGGCTAGCTTCTTGATTCATGATCATCATATCAATACAAAATGAACTCTTATGTTTTCTTCAAGGTTCTTCCTTCCTTTTTCCCAATGAACATTGTCTTATACGTACCTAAACATCATCTGAACTCACACAACTGATCAGTGAATATAAAGAGGATCTTAATCTATTTAACAAATAGATTCAAAGTTGCCGTGTGTCTGTTCAGTAATAGATCACAGATGACATCAAGATGTGGAAAGAACAAAAAAGTGACACACGAGGCACAGCTGAGTGCGTCACTGATGGATAATGACAATGATTATGGATGCAAGTAGCCCTCTGTGTAAATGTACTCAACCTTTGAATATCATAGACCTCTCGAATGATAATGGGGGTGATCAAAAGATGACAGCAGCGGTTTGATTGAGGTACCCAAGCATGAAAAATCCCATATGTCAAGCAACAATTAACCCCACTCTTCTCTTGGGAGTTCAGGGTACCCTCCAGGAGGTGGTGGTAACAATGAAGGAGGCAGTAGCTGTAGAGGAGGAAGACCTGGTGGTAAGGTGTAACTTGACTGTGAAGCAGATTTCCCTGGTGCATCTTTACATTCAACCTTTTTTTGCTTTTTGTTGTACTTCTCCAGCCACTCTTTAAGTGTTGCCTGAGGTTGACCTGCCTGTGACTGGTCTGGTGTTTTTCTACCTAAGCCTAATAAACAAATATTCTGCCTAGTAAATGCAACTTCAAAAAAAAGCTACTCAAATACACAAATTCTTAGGTAACTATATGTAAGGCGAAAGTGGAAAAGTCAAAAGTCTATCATCAAAGGTCCTAAAAAGGAAGCCCATCCCTCAGAGAGACTTGCCTGTTGAGCACATGCAATGTCAACCTACCAAACAACTAAATCCCAAATGATCCCTAAATGTCACCACCATGAGAACAAATTCTTGGCAACAAACCACAAAAAGCACAATTCCATCCATATTTGAATTTAAACAGTCTCCCATCGAGATACCAAAAGAAAAGGAACTGTTCTGCTATTGGGAACACAGTAAAACATTTGAGGGCCAACTGAAAAAGGTGGGAGCAACTTCACATACTTCAGGGAATGAACTTGCAAAGATGGAAAGGGACAAACTTGCAATGGGATGAAACCTCCAGATACATTGTTACATTTGTAACAAAGCATGATTAAGAAGTTTTAACCCTTTACACCATAATATCAGTATGAATATTCTCCATACTGTTCATCATACATTTCTTAAGGTGCTAACTAGGAGAATTTGGTTATCAATCAAGAGCTTCTTTAGTTGGTGATCATTTCCTTCATTCTTGAGACCTTCATGTATGATTCAGAAGAGATATTGCAAGGAGAAATTAGATTTTATTCACATAAAAGGGTTAAACACAAACAGACTATTACTTGAACCCAAATTAAACAGAATGAAAATTACATCAAATGATAATATACATTTTTGCGCCTGCTTGTTTAAAACCTGTCTACAGCCCTAATCTAGGTATAAAATGTATGAATAACTTTATCCTTACTTGCTTCTTGAGTTGCTAACAACATCTGTGGGCTTGTATGAGAATACCAGCAATTAGCACCAAATCCACATGTTCCTACAGAAGTAAATTAATTACATTATGTTGTAAAGTTCAGTAATAAATAATCAATTTATGAAGTTTTTAGTAACATGGACTACTCTTGTTACATGTACAGACATTCTGTGCAATTCAACCACCAGTTCTTAAAGCAAATGTACAATGACCATTCCACAATAAAGAAAAAAATCAGCTTCCTCCTACATTTAAATTAGGCAGACACATGTTATAAAGGGGGGTAAGTTTCTAAAGAAACTGTTGTGCTGCATTGGTAGGAGAGTATATTAGGATCATTTAGTAATATTAACTTTGTTGATAATGTAAATTGGCCACCCTAAAGATTTTAAAGCTGACATTTTGAATATTGGCCCTTCATCAGAGCAAATGACAAAGGGATGATGCTCAAAATATCAGCATCTAATGTTAGACTCATTATAGTGGAGCTTGCAGAGCGCAGCCCCATAATTATACAAAGTAGTAGTAACCCATCAAGCCAAAAAAATTTGGATGTACGTACAACTGTATGACTGCACAAGGTGCTACTTTTAACATGCGTGGTCAACTGTACCACGGGCACACCAACGCCATGGCTTTGTTCAGTAGTCCAGTGGTCAGTGCACTGGGCTTCGAGTTGGACGACCCGGGTTCTAGTCCTGGCCAGGGCAAAGCGTTGTGCCCTTGAGATGTGCAGGAAAAAAAAATGCAAGCTCCACTTTTAGGCTTGGCTAAATCTATATATTATATGAGTCTGACAGGTATATTTTGGTCCCCTTATCTTTGAGCTGCACTGCATTTCATTCAACTTTACTGTTTAATATACACTTCTGCATCATGTCTTGTCTTAACCCTTTAACTCCCACTAGTGATCAATATACAACTTCTACCAATAATATCTTTACATTAACCAGCAAACAGGTAATGAGGATACTCAAACTTATTAGGTAGAAGTTGTCATCTTGATGTAACACCTAATTCTTGTAAATAATTTACAAGGAAATGTGTAGCAGCTAGAGGGGAGAATTAACAATCAGATCTAGGGAGTTTAAGGGTTAAACCTTAACAATGGTCCAGATATCCTATTCCTCTTATTCACCCGAGTAAACCCCTCTTGTTTGGTTCTTGCTTCAAACGAAGCAAGAACTGATCAAATCCTTGCCTTTCATTGTGATCTTAATCCCACAGACATATAACTAGCTCACCAGTAGCAAAAAATTTCCGACAGGGTGGTTTACTTGTTTCCTCAGCCAAGAGAACTGCAGGATCTACATGAAAGTGGACAAAATTCATGATGAGCAAAAAACAGTCTACATGGATTGGAAGTAAACAAGTGACATATCGCTTTTTCCTACCTTTGAATGAATCATAGTGAAGCTTACGATTTCGCTTGTGTTGCACGCCATTGATATGATTTTTTCTCGTATGCAGAGTATCAGCGAAGGATCGGTTACAATATTCACAGTGATACCTTTTACCCATCCTTTACAAACAAAATAACGTTGAAATGTCACATCCAAACTGTTTCCGGATAAAGTAAAGTTTTTGAAAATTTTAAGCTAACGTACTGCGGCCATTTTGCGTAGCGGCCACACTGATTCGAAACATGGAAACCTGGCGAGGGGGACTGGCGGAGGGGTTAGAAAAGCATAAAACTTTTGAATCAACCCTGCTCGAATGGGGATGTTTTGGGCCAATCTGGAAAAATGAAACAAATTTTTCAAGGAAACAGAAACTGCTTGAAATCCCAACGGGCTGGGAGCAGATTAGCAGGCCATTTATAGAACGCAGTCAAGGGGGGACTGGAATTGTTTTGTGACCGCTTTGTTGAAACGAGGGCATTTTAGCGAGTTATCCATTTCTAGGTTTAGAACTCCTGAAAGAAGGTCTTTCTATTAGGAATTCTAAAATAAGAAATGCATTGTGAAAGTAAGGTGAGATATTTTTATTGAGAATTTGACTGTATTTTTACTTCCTAAGAACAGTCGTAAATATTCCCATACCGTGAAACTCGCATATTTCGCCATGACTCTTGTTTTGCAAGATGATCATCTCTTTGCTGGAGCTTGGGCTGCCTGTGGAGAGACTAGCTATAGCCATCGCGCTGATTTCGAAAGGAACCGATTAAAAAAAGAAAGGAAACCAACGCTATTTTTTATGTTCGCCGAGTGAAAGGCTTTACCGTATAACAAAACTTTGGCGATTCAGTTATGTAGTTATACACAGATTGGAACAGTCATTAATCTGATTTAGGACAACCTCAAAACTTGGCTGGTGTCCAACCTCGGATGAACCTCCGATTCATGAAAAGTGATTTTAGACAATGTGCTACTAGCTTTAGGTGGCGCCCGTTTTTACCAGTCATGTGACGCTTGGACGTTTCGACGTATTTGACTGATACACGTTTTTTTGACATTCGATTTTAGATCGCACCTTTTTAAACTGTGTCTGTTGTTGGATTGCAGCTATTCGTGCTTGAGTGGCGTATACATTTTGAACGGTGTCCGTTTTCTGGTGGCGTCATATTATGAACAACATCCGGTCTTTAGCGCACAGTGAGAAAGTACAGTAAATAGAACGAGCTAACGGAGGCTGGTCGAGTCACTCTGAGGCTTGGCCACACGCCGCAGCTTCCACCCAACAGTCAATAACTTGCATCTTTATCGGATCTTATCAAGCAACTCGATGTTAAACTTAATTAAGTAGAACACTGTTCAGTGAAGTCAGCATTTGACAATAATCAAACTGACAATCTCAAACAATTCATGTCACTTGTGGCTGGTTTATATTGGTTCTGGAGAACCAGCCAACTTAAGCTAGTTATTGAATTGAAAGGTGGCGGATTCAACGAGAGTGTCAGAATTTTACCGGATAGAATAGCAGCTAACACTGCCACAGATAGCTCACTCACGCAAATTATCGCCCATCTTAATTGTTTGCAATTATAGCTCGAGGGCTTTTCTACCAAGAAAATTTTAAACACATGCAGAATCCATAGCCTCCCCATCCTTCTTCACGGGTAAGCGTGCTGTTCTGTTTGTTCACAAAAAGAGCGTGAAAATGGTAACAACAGCAAATTTGCAAAGAAAAAAATTCTGTCCCGTTATTTCATTTCGTTGACTTTTAGCGAATGAAAGGAAATCTTATTGGCTTTACTCTGTCTCTCGGTGATAAGGAAAAACGAATTTTTTTTTTGGAGGTGCAACCAGTTTGAGCAACTTTTTAGCGTTCATGGCGTTGCAATTTGCCAGAGTTTTGTATGGTAGAAAAACTGACTTCAAAACGTTCTGAGTTTTTTCATTCAAGTAACTGCGATTAACAAAAGAAGTTTGGGTAGATTAGAAGACATACCGTGGAAGGAGAAATTAACTAATATCAAAGCGAGACTTCACCATAAATTGAAAAATGGTGGCTTGCGAAGAAAGGTATTGCCTTGACATCAACTCTTCCTTTAACTAAGAAAAAAAAATGTTTTGTGAAAAATCAGCTGTGTCAAAAATTAAACTGGGAGGACCATCTCGAGACAAAACGTTTACCCTGTTTCGCCAGGGGACGAGATGTACATTTGGTTCATGTATTCACCGGACTCAAAATTCCGTGTTTAAATCCTTGTAAATGCTGTTTTAATATCTCAGCTGGTTGTTCTATATTTTTTTTCGCTTTATATTCTATAAGACAGGTATTTACTTAATAAACTTTTGACACTGTTGCCATTCAGCTTAAATAAAGGGTATTCCAAAAGACAACTCTGATGGACAGTGACAACATTAGACTGAATGATTGGGTCAGTAAGATTTGTGCGTGTAAAATTTGGAGCTAATCCAAGACCTCTATTGCATTCTGTCTGGAGAGATTAAATAAACAGTGAAGTTCCAAAACGGAACTAATTTCTACATGAATAAATTTAGTTAGAATGGAGACCGTGCCACGCCATGATCTCAGATGCGATTAGCTTCCCATCTTTCAAAGCCTAACAGCTCGTTGGCTTGGTTCAAAGTTTATCATATTTTGTTGGGCTATTAGAGACTCCTATTTTGGCATAATTTGGCGCACCAGTCTTTTAAATTCCAATCTTGGCTTTTTTTTTTTTATTTCTTTTTGGTAATTTCCTTTGTGTAACTTAAGACTAAAGATTGATTGCAAAAGCAATTTAGAGCACTCAGATTTGAGAATTTCGATCAAGTTTTTATGACTAACTAAGTGCACGTAACATTAGACAGGTTTTAGTAAGTACTTAGAGATTTAAGGCTAACCGTGGTCATTCCTGTATCGATCGAGTGACAAAATATTCCATCTTGGTTCTTGTCTAAGAGGATGGTCTGTTCTTCATCCAAAGCTGCTCAAATCAATTTTCGAATTCTATATAATAATTAATTGAGCCAAATTTAGACTTCATTTCAGATAATAGACTTTATTTCAAGTCTATTATCTTTAAGTCATTTTCATCGGGAACACTTAAACTAGAGTGCAAAAGCACCGGCAGTGAAATTACTGTATTAATAACGGCTTAACTAAAAAAAGCACTTTATTTAAACGAATCTTTGTTCGTGCTTAGAGTACCAGCTAACCTTCATTGTGTAACGGAATCTACGATCAGTTGACAATCAATTTTTTGCCTTACCTGTCCATTTACACAATCTTTTTTTTTTTTTTTTTTTTTTTTTTTTTTTTCACTGCTGAGCATTATTTCGAGTCGATCGACAGCAGGACTTTTAACTATTTACCATATAAAGTGTTGAGATGTTAAGCAACCCAAAAAGCAGTTATGCCAAGTCTTAACGATGCAGTAAACTTGTAGCTTCATTTGTCGGGTGGGGAATTTTTCACATAAAGAATCACTCTCAAAGGACGAAGAACACTGAAGAACACAAAATCAGTTTTTACCTTATTTTTAGGATTTTATCAAAGTTCCCAATCAGAGTGTTTTTGTTTTTTCGTTTTTTTGAGGGAGTATCTGATCATTTGACCAGCCAAGAATGCATGGCAGTTTTCTGTGTTCATATTACTAATGACGTATTTTGAAATCATTTCTTAAACATTACTAAGCTTGTGGCAAGGTCCCCCTGAGGCCATAAATATCTGCCCGCTCTTAGTTCATTTGGAAGTTTCACCTGGCTTCCGGACAGTGCGCACGGATCTGAAACTTGGTGGTCAAAAGGCAACTACTCCTTATTTGAGGTACGTAAAAGACTTTCAAAGTACATACACTACGTTTCCGTACAACAAAAGCAAGGACACAATGTTTTAACGGGTATAGATGACTCCTTTACTGCAGGAATTTGGTCGAATTTGAATTATAGCTCTTAATGGTTTTAGCTTTTTAGCTTTTCAAACAACTTGTTCAAATAAAAAACAATGAAAGCCAGAAATCTTCAAGTCTATTTATAAAAAAAGCAAACATCGTTTCGAAAATAAAAGCTTCCTGAGTGGATGATTGAGATTGATTTAAAACTGAACTTATCTCCTAAGTCATTTATTTTGCTTCTCCAAACACAGTGTTTCAACATAGGCTTTGTCACTGAACCCCAGTTACTCCAGAAAACCTTATTTCCTGACATGTTGAGGATAAAAAAAAATTATCTCAATTAAAGGCGCTTGTAGAATTACTCGCAGTTTTACAACTGTAGTAACTTATAGACACCTGAAATTCAGAAAAAAGTCTATCTCTGCGATGACTGATTAATCATTGTTTCGGGAGATCTTTTCCTCTTGAACAGTTCCCTCGTTAATTCAGAATTGTGATCCACGGTGAAAAGAATATTACTCTTGATTCGTTACGGAACATACTATTACGCGCCAAAAAGTTAGCTGTAGTCATTTTGTTGGGTACTCAAGGGGAAGTAAGAATTTTTAAGTGATTTTCTTTGTTTCCACGTTTGTGGAAATTGTTCACCATTAAAAAAAAAGATGAAAAAAAAAAGCGTATATTATAATTTCCTAAAGGCTTTTTTCTTTCCGTTTTTTAAGTGAGAAAAAGGTACAGGTTTCAGAATTTGAACTGAAGAATTTGCATTAAATATTAATGAAAACCTCAAAAGCAATCAGTCAACTCTTGGTTAGAATATCAAAATGAAAAAAAAGAACTTTAAGTACAGGTTTCAGAATTTGAACGTTTTTAAGTTTTGAAGATTTTATAAACTCTTGGCGATCTCGTATTTGAGAAAAAAGTTTTCTGCAAGTAGTAAAAAAATATTTTTGTTACCACAGGTTTTGAATTTGAACTGAAGAATTTGCATTAAATATTAATGAAAACCTCAAAAGCAATCAGTCAACTCTTGGTTAGAATATCAAAATGTTTGAAAAAAAGTTTGATCGAGTCAAAATAGGTTCACCAAAAAGAACTTTAAGGCAAAAACCACTACATTCGTTTCTTTGCGTCTTTCACTCTAAGTTATACAACCTGAGCCACTTTAAAACAACCTGTAAAAAGTACAATCCTTTCTTACACCGGTGACATCATCTTCGCAATTATGAGGTCATCCTCGATTCACTGTCTTATAGCAGGCCTTAATTTTTGTCCAGTTTTGAAGATTTTATAAACTCTTGGCGATCTCGTATTTGAAAGTTTTTTTTTAACATGTCAAATAGACGCTTTTGTCAGCGAAAAACTTAACGCAACGAAACAAATGAGTTTCTGGTAGTTACTGTATTAATATTACCAATGATGTAGTGTAAAGGTTTTTACTTCTTAAACACTGTTACCATTTTAGCAAGTCCACATTTAGTCGTAAACATTCAGCACACGCGTTGTTCCTCGGAAATCTCATTGAATTAGCGAACAAAGGATAGATTTTGGGTCGGGAAACAATGCATTTAAAGCGAATCTGAGAGGCAACAGGTTGTTTTGAAAATTCAATTCAAGAGTTCGCATAAAGTATTAATGATTTCCTAAAACACTTAAATACAAGTGGCAAAAAAACTCACTTAGCAACGAAATTTTTTATTTTGATGAACATTTTTGTTGTTGCAACTGTTTTTTTTTTGGCTTTTTTTTCGCTCAGTTCTTAGTTGTACAACCTTCTGAGACACCTTGCACGCTGTAGATAACATCGTTGATTGAATAAATGACATTGAGGTCATGAAAAAGCTCAATCTGCGGATAGTTTTTACAGTTCTTTTAAAAATCTTGATTATTCGATATTTATGATATACAAAACACAAAGGATGAATGACCAATACGATCACTTAAGTAAAACGCTTGAAACAGGGTGGGAATGTCGCCATGCACACAGCGCCTGATGGGAAGGTTGGGTTTAATATAGTGAAACATTTAGCGGCTTCGCTGTTTTCTGTTCGACTGAATATTGTATCACGTGTTATAAATGACAATACATTATTCTGACAGCTTGTTGATATTTGTAGGTTCTTCAGAATGATCTCAATTTTGAGGATCTTGGTTTTCATTTTGGTTCAAGGACATGTGGTAAGAGATGTATAAACAACCCACCGATTTCCATTCATACATATATATATATATATATATATATATATATATATATATATATATATATATATAAACATCAAAAAAGTATATCTTCAAATCACTAAAAAATTAGATAACTATGAGACAAAGAAAGTATCGTTAGCAGAGTCTTGCAGGTGGGTCTTAGATGTGAAACAAAATCCTGAGAAGTGAAAAAGATGAGTTCATTGACAAATAACCAAATTTTGGACAAAAGCCATTCAGAGATCTGATAAGAATATATTGTTTAGTATTTGCAAATGAGTCATCGGTGGAAAGCATAAAGATTTCTCGAAAAACGATCTGAATTCAGATAAGTTCCCTACCAGCAGACAGGTATAAAATTTATTTTTCCGTCACAAGCCCTATAAACCCTAAGAGTGACCAGCTCTAATTAATCAATAAGATCATGCAGGAGCCCATTACCCGGAGTCTCCATACGAATTGTACCCTTGTGTCAACCCTGTCCCGTATCTTTTTATTTTTAGAACTGAGATATGTGGGGGGTTCTTTAATTTCCCGTGAAAACACGCTGACATTCGCATAATTGAAATACTTTTGTGCGGCCTGCATGTGACGTAAATAATAGAGGACCACAGCTCTCTTATGATTGGCTATTATGTAAACACCCGCGAAAAACCCCGTAGGAACTACTTCTAAAAATAAAAAGATACGGGACGGGGTTGACTCAGAGGGTAAGTGGGGAAGATGGAAGCTCCGGGTAATGGGCTACTGGATCATGAGAGTAGAGGAAATGGTCGCAACCTAAGAAGCTTTGATGAGTAAACAAATCATTTTTGTCAGTACCGAAGGAAATGTATAGAGACGGCTATGGAGAATATGGATACTGATCTTAGGGTGGAAAGGGTTAACGAGAATCTGGCGTTATGTATAGAAAACATCCTTCGAGTAGCTGACAGTTATTTCAATCCTCTTCTCTTGTTTGCTTAACGACGTAATGCTACTCTAAAGAAAAGTAAAATTTACTCGGGCTAACCTGTTTTTAGGAGGGTTCATTGTGTAACTAGATTCACATATTTGTACCGCGAGCTTCTCCCTACAATGAAACTAACCTTTGTAAGGTTAGTTAGTTAACAATTATTCCATGAGCGCGTGTTGGATATGAGATGGTTAATAGCAATCTCTTATTCAACAAATGTATATTCACTATTTTTTACCTATTCTATTAGCTGTGATTTTACCGAGATTAACTGTTCAGAGAAACATACAGAGAATATCACCCAAAGGACAAGCGTAGAAGGTTCTTCCACTCTCCACAACCGTTATTCTTCCATCTGTCACTCCTATATATCCAGTTGACTTCACCCTATCAGTTTCATTAACCGTTTAAATGAGCGCAATAGAATGGGTGTGAGTAATCTTTACCACTTGAATGATATTACCAAAAAATGTGCACTGCATCTCAGGTGTGTGACAGGGAACTTTACCCGGTTTCCATGTTCAGAATGGATGTTGACGAGAACCAGCCGATTGATCTGCCGGAAAACGGCGAAACTAAGCCTCCCCGAGGAAAATCAGATAGTGAAAGGTAGGAATTGCTGCAAACATTATGTAAGAAAGGCGGCGGAACATTCTGAGGGGGAAGGCTTATCTTTCACTCAGCCATGCGCATACTCCTACTCAAATTTCCCAAAATGCCCTTTGCGTTGTTCGGTGGCACAAGCAAACCTCTTTGCACTCTTCACAGTTTCGATTGAGTCCGTAATCAATGTGTGACTTGTGGCACAGTCTTTAATTTAATTTAATCTTCCACCTTAAATATGAGTTACCTTTAAAATCAAGGTTGATCTCAAAATGCGCCAGAAACCCCATTTTCAACTACTGTAGGAATAAATTCTTACCAACCGAGTGCGAAAGCTGTACCGGGGAATATTGATCCGTGCAAGAGAATATGAATTGGTGGCTTATTTTCTCTTGGTCTGAGGTCGTGACAGTACCGACCGAGGGGAGCGAGGTCCGTACAAAAACAAACACTTAAAAGTTCGTTTCTCTAAAAGTAAAGCCCAAAAATTGGAATAAAACTTAGGTTTGGTTCGTTCAGTGCGGTCATTTTGCTTGGCTTTCTGTCTGTATTTTTGCAGTATCCTTCAATAAAACACTGTGGTATATTTTGCGTATTAATGGAAGAATAGCTTGTAAATTCACAGACTCGTGGGAGTCACAGCGGGAGGCGCAGTGAGAGACCCAGTGGAGGCGCAGAGGCCTTATGGTCAGTGCACTGGACTCCGCGTCGAGAGGCCCGAGTTCGAGACCTGGCCAAGACTATGCGTTGTGTTCTTAGAGAAGACACTCTGCTCTCACAGTGCCTCTCTTAAGAGCACACTTAATTTGGAGCCTCGCTCTTATGTGTGTACCACATCGTCATGGTGAAAACGATTAAAAGAAAAAAGAAACAAAAGAGACAAAAAAAAAAAAAAAAAAAAAAAAAAAAAAAAGACTCGATCGAAAAATTCTAAGTGATAACCATGCCAAAGTCTCCCAAGTAATCGACCACTCAGATCAATCATTTCTAAATGTTGACCATGAATAGCCTCTACATCCCTAAGCCGGATCAGATTTATTTTTATCATTATTATAATTATTATTTTTACCATTATTATAACTATTATTATCATGATTACTACAAAAGATGAGATTCAGATATTGCACCAATCAAACGGTAAACATCTTCATCATCATTATGACTGGCACAGTTATTAAACGAGATGACAGCAAGTAAATGCATTCAAGAAAATTAGTAAATCTACTAGACAAGAACCAAAAGTTAACTTTGTTCTATCAATAACCGGAAATTGCGCTGAAAATAAACTCTTGACTTGCGATTTTGTCTCTCTAGCTCTTCGTAAATGAACATTTGCTGAACAATTCCGAGCTAATCAGATTTATCCTCTCCTCAATACTCTCAGGCGCGCAGTTGGTCCACCAATCGATGTTGATGTTCAGCCGTTGAAAAATCAAATTGCTGATGCTTACGGTTTCCAGAAGGATCCCAATAAAGATCAATGGAAGAAGCTACCAAGTTTTGAAGGTCAAATCGGAGTAGGAGGCTGGGCAGCAGCTGCACAGTCAGCAAAGCGATTCTTCAGAAACAACAACAACCACGCAACACCATGGCAAAATTTACTGGCTACACGAACCCCCATCAACCTCCTTTACATCACAGCTGCTAGATACCTTTTTGTAACCCATGTTCTTTGGGTTCAAAGTAATAGACAGTTAATTGCTTGCAAGGAAAAGAGAGACAAATACAGCGGCATTATTCAAAGCTTCGAGATCCCTCCAGATGGAGTGTGTTTTCCTTTACCTTATGGCAGCGCCACCTACAAGTCAGACTATGACGTCGGGCTCATCGGAGTAAATTCTGGAACCCTCACACAGAGCTTTAATCAGTATTTTCAAGCCGCGGCCCCGAATGGATTTGGCAAACCCTCAGAGCTTGTATTTGACACAAATGTTTACGCCTTCACTCTGGAATTCGCCATGCCCATGATGTTTCTCAAGCTACCCGAAACGTTTGCTGCCAAAGTTGCGAAACTTGAAACAAAAGTGAGGTACAAAATGCAAGAATTGGCCAGTGCTTATTATAAGATGTTCAAGTACAACAACAATTTTTTTCAAGCGTTGACGACGTCAGCTCAAAATAACATGCAAGCTGCGCCTCGGCAGGTTCTGAACGAGTGGCTAACAGCGTTCGACAACATGAACACCGCTGATAATTTCAGAAAAGGGGCAAGATCCGACCAAGCCTTCAGACTCGCCCACAATAATAGGTACCAAGCGTTTGTGGCAGCCGTATCACAAAGCGGAGGATATGTACCAAACGAGATAGGTGATTAGTGATACGTAGTGCATGCTAAAAAGCCTCTAAAACGACTTGAAATTATTCCCTATTGAATGTTTAAGGTAGTTCAGCTTGGATTTGGTTTTGCTTCGTTATCATCTTTGATTGGTCTAGAAACCCACTCCACTCTCTAGACCAATGAGTCGAATGCAGAGCTCAAGTCAAGCCCGTTTTAGGTACTCGCGTCTTCCCGCACCTAGAGCAGTTTCCTTGTTTATGGTTAATATTTACCCCATGAGTTATCATTGGCCACTTAAAATCTACGACAGATAAGTGGTCGATTGATTTGGTTGTCAAAACAAGTTATGATGACAAATGAAAAAGTTGAACTACAAATATTCCGAAAAGAGCTTTTTTTCAGTTTTCACTGGATGACTAACATCTAGCTCAGTGGTTTGATAGAACAGGAACATTTGAAAACAAATACCTCGGGCGCTTACATTCAAGAAATAACTATGTTGCATCTTAAACTAACATAACATGTAATACTGAGTTAAAACTAAGTTTAAGCAACGATTGACTTGTACAATTCCTGCCTCAACAGACAACGTCGTGAAGGCCCTACTCTACGCTGCAGAGGCATATCACACCCGCGGCGCCATACGACATGTGGTACAGGGTATGCAGATGAAGGCGATCGACAGGGGCGAGTTTAACACACCGCTATTAACTTATGACCTGTGGGTGTCCATGATCGAAAACTGGGGAGATGCAAATAAGGAGTACGCACACTGTGGCCCAAATGTCCTCATAGCGGCGTGCTTGAACAAGATGAGTAAATACCTCTGGAGGATGTTCAACGCGATGCGATTAGTCCGTGTCCGTCTGCCATTTAAAAGCGGTGATCAACTGCTAGCCTTTGGTACAACTGATGACCCCGAGTCAGCCACGCAGCAATGGCGGCGCAAAGGTGCAAATGCAGACGCGAAAAGCTATTACCTGTTTTTGAAAAAGTTCGAATGCAATGCCATGATAAACACAGCGACACAGAGAGTCGTTGCCAACACCCGTTTATCCGTGAATTGTATGACAAACATCAACAACAAAGTCAACGCCTATAATATAAAGATGGCAGGTCTTGTGACAAACAAGGACGGAGAAGGGATGTAACTTTTTGTGACGACCCCAAGAAACAAGTGATAACTTCTCCCAACAAAGCCAATCCATTGCCAAGCAACAGGTGGGAAGACTTAAGGAAATCATCAGGAGACCAAAATCGTGTTGAAGATACGTCTTAATTCTCACAGTTGATTTTAATTTTAACCTGTAGGGATAATTTCTAATCACATGTAAGTTGGGTGGCTATCATAAATCATCGGAGCAGTATAGAAGGTCTCAAAAGGCATAAAAATTAATAATTTTTAACCGTTAGTCGTCAAAAGTAACAAATTTTATTGTAGGTCGTCAAAAAAAGTTAACCGACAACAAAGGAAAGAAAAAAATCGTTAGGCGTAAAACTTTTTAAAAGTTAGCTGTAAAATTCATCACTCCACTGAGACTCTCAGTATAGCTGCAGTGTTATATTTTGCTATGAACTTACTTATATTTAAAGTATACATAATTACTACCTGTATTATCTTAAGTTAAGGTAAACGAGTCCTTAACTGGTGGGAAAAATTGACGCAAAACAGATAAAATGTCTTGCAACATGACGACTCAATAGCAAAAATATGGACTGATAAGAACCAACATCTACAAAAACTGGAGATAACTCGCAATATTGATGTTTGAATTTCCTACTAGGCGCCGTTTTGGATCGTTTGACGTCACACGGTTACCATTATGGTCAATTTCAGTATCTAAGTAACTGCGCTTCTACCCCTCCCCTAATCCAAAATTTACACCAACTTGCTAGAAGTTAATTGTTGTTGGGTCAGGGGAGGGGTGAGTGCGCAGCTGCTTGATCTGCCATTATTATGATCAAACAACAGCTCCTAGGACCGCAGGAGTTCTGAACAGGGATCATGCAGATCATGGTAGCATTTAGAAAACGTCACACGATCCAATTTCTCTGCACGCACTAAATTCTATAGTTTCAAAAGGCCAAGATCTGTTTGTTTTTTTCCTCACAAAAAATTTTTTTCCGCAATGATGCAGACAAATGTTACTGAACAGATCATTTTTGATAATTTCACGACAATTTCTTCAAACTGTGCGAGGTGGTTTTGTATAACGATTGAGAGGAGCCAATATACGCCCTCATGGCATGGAGGCCTTTAACTCCCGAGATCTGATTACTATCTTCCTCACCAGCTGCTTCACATTTCCTGGTAAATTAGTCACGAGAATTTGGTGTTAGATCAAGATAATAATTATCTGATAAGTTTGAGTATTCTCATTACCTGTCTGCTGGATTATGTATGGATATTATTGGGAGAAGTTATATGTAAATCACTTGTAAGGTTAAAAAAAGAGAACGCTCATATTCAGTTATCTTTGATTTAAGATAGTCGTTGCATGAAAAATATCTGAGATATTCGAGCTCCAAAACCAAGAGAGAAAACTCTCGATTAAAAATTTGGTCAAAAATTGGTAAAAGAATCCATGATTGTACTTTGGAATCAACGATAAAGTAGTAATGATAAATTGATTGACGATTTTCCGTTTTTCGCCCTTACACAAATTTAAACTTTGCCTACCAAATATAATCGACTAAAATTCGGAGTGTATATTGTTATCATCAACTTATTTCAATCGCATTTAACCAAAAAAAAAATTAAAAAGCTTAAAAAAGCCAACAGTTGTACTAAACACTATAACAACAAAACCAGGATTACTTTCTCATATGGATTATTCCCCATGCAAATACCTCTAAGACAAGCTATTGATGATAGCCTTGTGCATCGTGTTGAAATAAAAGACTGTTGGAACCAACCCAGTGGTGAATCTTTTTTATCTTTCTGGCCATGTCCACACCAGTTTCAGCTACGTTTAAAGGTATTTCTTAACCTCGAGCCCAGATCCTACGAGTGACTTTGGCCAAAAGGAGATTGGAACATAACTTGGAATTTTACAAAAATCGAATGGTGCAGAGATATTTCTTAGCTATAATGGTAAATATCAATCAGATTTGGTTGTGAGCAATGGCTACGGGAAAAACTAAAAACTACGAATAAATTCAGTTGTTGATTTCCTTGAAAATGTTCTTCAAGAACATTATCAGGCGTTCTCCTTTTCCAAATTTCTTTCAACTAAAAACTGGGAAACTGCAGGAAGGGGCCCTGGTTTAAATTCATTAATTTTCACAGTCGATTAGTCTGACTTAATTCAATTTTTTGGGGTTATAGAAGAAAGTAAAAAAAAAAACAAAAAACAAAAAATAAATAAATGCAGGCCCAGCAGAGTTTGTATAAAGTATTACTATTTCCTTTTTTCGAGTCACGAACGCTCGCACTTTTAGATTCCATCAAATGAGCCGTTTTTGTTTCGTCCAGCAGTTGTGCAACCGGGGTCGCCGTCGGACCCTTTCAATACAATGAAACCATGCATATAACTTGTAGTAACTTGTAGTAATATCACCCACAATCTCTTATATTGTAGATACGCTGGCTGAATAGTCAATTCCTGTTAATCTTTTTACGATTAGTGACGCTCAGTTGTGGCCAGCGGTATTCTAGGGATAAGGAAGTAAAGATTTCATTTAATATCAGCTTGCCCAGTCAACTAAGCCGATTTCCACGAAGGCGCGTTGTTACAGATACCCAATTTAAAGTCTAATCAACAACATTTTCATAAGTAAATTGAAATATTAAAGGATGCAATCGCGTAATAAAAAAACTCTACAAGATCTATACTCTAAGATTTAGCTATAAGAGGGTGTGAGCGTTTATTTTGATTTTAAATGATGATAGAGATTCCGCGCTTAAATGAAGGTCTTCTGGAGATGAGTTCAGTAGTTTAGCGCAGCAGGGTGTATACGTAAATGCAACTGCAGTGAGATAGAAGAACCCTTGAGATTTTATTTTGTCAAGTCTCACCATAAAAGCGACCGATTTTGTGGCAAAAAACTTAAGTTAATGTTAAATCGAAGAAAAGGTTGTAAGCTAACGTCGAGCTTAAGAATTTCCATTAAGTATTAATAATGGTTTACAAATCAGTTCATTGATACAACTCTTTATTTGTGCTCAGGGAACCAGCTAACTTACAGTGTGGCAGGGCACCAAGGGGTCTCAATGAGGTGATTGTTCACCAAGCAGGTTGAGATTAAAAGTTTGGTCATTTTACGGCTAACGATTCTAAAATTTTTTTCCTACTTAACTTGAGTTATCATATTATCCATCCGGTGCCGCACGCGCAATACCGTAGAAGGCCGGACGGGTAGAATTTAGCCGATTTGGAAAAAGATGCAAAAAAATGAGTGACAGCGTGGAACAAAAATGAGGAAAACAAGTTATATTTTTCGATGTTCTGACTCGGAAAGATTAAAGAAAAGTCTTTATTGTAGTATCCCAGTTTTTGGTTTTTCCTGCGCACGCCAGTCTACTCCGTCCTATTTTAGTTACAACAAACGTTTCTAATTTTCAAAACCTTAGTTAGTGGTCATATGACAAAATACTCATTGACTGAGTTAAGACGGGCCAGCCCTCCCCCCCATTCGATAAGTACATATTAGTTTACAAGGAGGGAACTGAGCCAAGTGTTTTTTTTGTTAAGTACCAGAATAGAGTGTGTAACCGTATTAGCCACAAGGCAAGACACATAACAGTCCAATGTTTTTTATTCTTTCAAAATGACACATTATAAGTGGGAAATAGTGTCATGGTTTTTTTTTAAATTTCGAGTAAAGGGGATAGGTTTCTACAAGTCCTAAAAAAACTGTGATGCTGCGTCGGTAAGGGGTAACATAAGATAATTTGGCTTTATCAACTGAGTTGATAATGAAATTCGGCCACTATAATGAGTTTCTAAAACCGACGTTGCGAGAGTTAACCCTTCCTCAGATGCTCAAAAGCTCAACTTTCGTAAAGCTTTACAGAGGCCGATTTCCGTTATCAACTTATTTGGTAAAAACAAATGACCTTTTTCAATTTTTGTCCATTAATTTTACGGATAACGTGCAAACCTCCCACAGAGACCTTCGTATATCACCTATTATTGAGCGGAACATTTTTTTCGTCTCGAAAGTTCATTTATATAGTTTTGGTTTTTCGACTCTGATCAGGACTTCAAGGAAACAATACTTTTCATTGCATAAACTAATGAAGTCGTTGTTTTTCGTTATTGCCTTTATAGCTTTGATGATCATGAGCAAACTAGACAGCCTTCGTCTAGTTTTGACGGAGCAGTGAACTGGTATCTTTGCCACGATAGGAGTTTTTTTCTCTTATAAAAAACTTAATACTACGGGGAGAAAGGGAACAAGGAACATTTCAAACTGCGTAAACATAAGCTCTTACCTAATTCTAAGGATCTAATCATAAATTTTTCAATAGTAGCCTCTTTAGTGTTTTGAATAAAGGGACACTCTAGTCAGTCACGTATGACCTCAAGTTGCTGTCCAGTTTCTGGTAGTTACCGGTAGTTCACCTCTGACAAGATTTGAATTATGTCTTAAACATTGTTAAGCTTGTGGCTTAAACATAAGCTTAAACATAAGCTCTTACCTAATTCCAAGGATCTAATCATAAATTTTTCAATAGTAGCCTCTTTTGTGTTTTGAATAAAGGGACACTGTGATCAGTCACGTATGACCTTAAGTTGCTGTCCAGTTTCTGGTAGTTACAGGTAGGTCACCTCTGACAAGATTTGAATTATGTCTAAAATAATGCTAAGCTTGTGGCATGTCTGTAATGGGCTATAAATATTCAGCTTATTTTTGGCGTATTTAAAAGTTTCATTTAGCTTTCGATCAGAGAGCTCCTCATCGGATCCTGGTCTTCATCAACTGCTCCTAATTGAAAGGTAGGACAGGGAGTTTCAAAGTACACGCACTACATGCATATAAAAAAAGGTACAATGTTTAGAGAAGAATGATCCCTTTGCGTATGCCAGAAGGAATTTTAGATAATATCTATCAAATTTCCTGGGCCATTGAAGCCCTCGAAAAACTTATTCAGATCAATAGACAATATAGGCCAGGGATTAACAAAGGTAAATATTGAAAAAAAAGAAAATGAATTTATTGAGGAAAGGCAAACATTGGTTAAGAAAATATCACATCCTGAGTGACTGATTCAGTTAAGTTTGTCTGTATATGCCAATGCATGGGCTCTTAAAAAAATTATAGAACTTTGAAAGATACCGGTGAAATAAATCCTTAATTGTACGAAGGCACTTGCGAATAGTTGTTTATCAGATACAAGGAGAAAATGTTTGAAAAAGTGTTCGTTTGAGCGCGGATCACACGCCATGTTCATCGAATAAGTTCTCTCATTGCCGCGATAAGTGGCAACGAACTGATATGAATTGACACAACGGAAATGTTCCTACAAAATACAACATACAAAGCAATACATTACCATTCAATGAGTATGGTTCAATTTAGCGAATCGTTTCCGCGAGCTTAAATACGGCTCAAATTGTTTGAGGACAAGGCTTAGTTTGAGTCAGAATGTCTGAAAACAAGACTGATGTGAGAACTGCCACGGGGCCCTCTTTGGCCAATTTCGAGAATAAACTCTTCTGTGGTGGGTTAGGTGTTACCCCAAATTAAGAGACTTTTAAAAGTATGAATATTATGGTTATGGTTCAGCTTGGTAAAATTATGATTCTGTGCCTGTGAATAAGCAGTCGAAGACAGGGATGAATTTTTAGCCGAATCTCGACCAAACTCATCTAATAAGATTAGTGATAAATGACAATATGAAATTCTTACTAACCGCTGATATTTGTAGGTTCTTCAAAATGTTATTGATTTTGAGTGCCATGATTTTCGTCTTCGTTCAGGACCGTGTGGTAAGTGACGAGTAAGAGAGTTTTACCTGACCTTAATTTCATGACTTTGACTAACATTACATGTCTAGTCTCAACATTTCTTATTTGCCTTACTGTCACCCGCATCTGATATTTCAGAATTTATGTCCGTAAGCCATTTAAACGATTTAAGTGAAATACCTATCAGTGACCTTTACCATATGCAGTTCTCTCTTACAATGGGTCTTGTATCACAGGTGTGTGACAGGGAACTTTTCCCTGTTTCCATGTTCAAAATGGATATTGACGAGAGCCAGCAAAGTGATCTGCCGGAAAACGACAAGATTGAGCTCCTTCAAGGAGGAGAAGATAGTGAAAGGTAGGAGTAGACAGAAAATGGAGTTTCTGGTGCATTTTGAGATCAACCTTGATTTAAAAGGTAACTCATAAATTTAACTTTGACTTCAAGGTTAACTTGAAATCAACGTTGATTTCAAAGCACAGTTCTGGCTCATTTTGGAGACAACCCTGATTTTAAAGGCAACTCATGAAGTACATCAACCTTGATTTCAGAGTTGACTTGAAGTCAACCATGATTTTAAAGGCAGCTCATGAATTTAACCTTGAAATTAACACTGATTTCAATCAAAGAGTTCTTGCCAGGAGAATGGGCTCCTGTTCTTGCACATTTTGAAATCAACCTCGATTTCAAAAGACCATTTAAATTTTTCACAAGTGAATAATTTCACGCCCTCTTCACAATGTCTAAATCTGTACTTTAAATCTGTACTTTGAAATCAACCCCGTTTTCAAATCATGAAATATGAGTTACCTTAAAAATCAAGGTTGTTCTCAAAATGCGCCAGAAACCCCATTTTCAACTACTGTAGGAATAAATTCTTACCAACCGAGTGCGAAAGCTGTACCGGGGAATATTGATCCGTGCAAGAGAATATGAATTGGTGGCTTATTTTCTCTTGGTCTGAGGTCGTAACAGTACCGACCGAGGGGAGTGAGGACCGTCCAAAAACAAACACTTAAAAGTTCGTTTCTCTAAAATTAAAGCCCAAAAAATGGAATGAAACTTAGGTTTGGATCGTTTAGTACGGTCATTTTGCTTGGCTTTCTGTCTGTATTTTTGCAGTATCCTTCAGTACAACACTGTGGTATATTTTGCGTATTAATGGAAGATTGGCTTGTAAATCCACAGACTCGTGGGAGTCACAGCGGGAGGCGCAGTGAGAGACCCAGTGGAGGCGCAGAGGCCTTATGGTCAGTGCACTGGACTCCGCGTCGAGAGGCCCGGGTTCGAGATCTGGCCAAGACTATGCGTTGTGTTCTTAGAGAAGACACTCTGCTCTCACAGTGCCTCTCTTAAGGGCACACTTAATTTGGAGCCTCGCTCTATTGTGTGTTCCACATCGTCATGATGAAAGCGATTAAAAGAAAAAAGAAACAAAAGAGACAAAAAAAAGACTCGATCGAACAATTTTAAGTGATAACCATGCCAAAGTCTCCCAAGTAATCGGCCACTCAGATCAATCATTTCTAAATGTTGACCATGAATAGCCTCCACATCCCTAAGCCGGATCAGATTTATTTTTATCATTATTATAACTATTATTTTTATCATTATTATAACTATTGTTATCATAATTACTACAAAAGATGAGATTCAGATATTGCACCAATCAAACGGTAAACATCTTCATCATCATTATGACTGGCACAGTTATTAAACGAGATGACAGCAAGTAAATGCATTCAAGAAAATTAGTAAATCTACTAGACAAGAACCAAAAGTTAACTTTGTTCTATCAATAACCGGAAATTGCTTGGAAAATAAACTCTTGACTTACGATTTTGTCTCTCTAGCCCTTCGTAAATGAACACTTGCTGAACAATTCCGGGCTAATCAGATTTACCTCTCCTCAATACTCTCAGGCGCGCAGTTGGTCCACCAATCGATGTTGATGTTCAGCCGTTGAAAAATCAAATTGCTGATGCTTACGGTTTCCAGAAGGATCCCAATAAAGATCAATGGAAGAAGCTACCAAGTTTTGAAGGTCAAATCGGAAAAGGAGGCTGGGCAGCAGCTGCACAGTTAGCAGAGCAATTCTTCAGAAACAACAACAACCACGCAACACCATGGCAAAATTTACTAGCTACACGAACCCCTATCAACCTCCTTTACATCACAGCTGCTAGATACCTTTTTGTAACCCATGTTCTTTGGGTTCAAAGTAATAGAAAGTTAATTGCTTGCAAGGAAACTAGAGACAAATATAGCGGCATTATCCAAAGCTTCGAGATCCCTGCAACTGGAGTGTGTTTTCCTTTACCTTATGGCAGCGCCACCTATAAGTCAGACTACGACGTCGGGCTCATCGGAGTAAATTCTGGAACCCTCACACAGAGCTTTAATCAGTATTTTCAAGCCGCCGGCCCGAATGGATTTGGCAAACCCTCAGAGCTTGTATTTGACACAAATGTTTACGCCTTCACTCTTGAATTCGCCATGCCCGCGATGTTTCTCAAGATTCCCAATACGTTTCCTGACAAAGTTGCGAAACTTGAAACAAAAGTGAAGTACAAAATGCAAGAATTGGCCAGTGCTTATTATAAGATGTTCAAGTACAACAACAATTTTTTTCAAGCGTTGACGACGTCAGCTCAAAATAACATGCAAGCTGCGCCTTGGCAGCTTCTGAACGAGTGGCTGACAAAGTTCAACAACATGAACACCGCTGAAAATTTCAAAAAGGGGGCAAGAACCGACCAAGCCTTCAGACTCGCCCACAATAATAAGTACCAAGCGTTTGTGGCGGCCGTATCACAAAACGGAGGATATGAGCCCAGTATGATAGGTGATTAATGATTCGTTGAGCTAAAAGTCTTTAAGCTTATCGACTTGAAATGTTTCCTTATTATGTGTTAAAGTCAGTTTCAGCATGCCTTTGGTTTTCCTTAGCTATTATCTGTGAAACCAGAAACCCACGCCACTCTCTCAACCATTCAGTCGGATGCAAAGCCTAAGTAAAGCCCGTTTTGAGTACTTGCGTCCTCCCGCGCTTAAAACAGTTTTCTTGTCTTTATTTTCAATGTTTAGTTATAATTGCCTCTTGAGATCTACAATAACTCAACGGTCGATTGATTTGGCTATAAAAAAATGATGGTTAACAATTGAAACGAAACTACAAATATTCCGAGAACAACTTTTTTCAGTTTTCACTAGAAGAAATACATTTAGCTCAGTGGTTTAACAGAAAAGGAGTATTAAAAAACAAATACCGCGGGCGCTTATTCAAGGAATAACTATGTTGCATCATAAGGTTAAACAACATGCAATAGTGAGCTAAAATTAACTTTAAGTAACGACTGACACGAACAATTCCTGCCTCAACAGACAACGTTGTTAAGGCGTTACTCTACGCCGCAGAGGCATATCACACCCGCGGCGCCATGCGGCATGTGGTACAGGGTATGCAGATGAAGGCGATCGACAGGGGCAAGTTTAACACACCGCTGTTAACTTATGACCTGTGGGTGTCCATGATCGAAAACTGGGGAGATGCAAATAAGGAGTACGCACACTGTGGCCCAAATGTCCTCATAGCGGCGTGCTTAAACAAGATGAGTAAATACCTGTGGAGGATGTTCAACGCGATGCGACTTGTCCGTGTCCGTCTGCCATCTAGAAGCAGTCAGGGATTGCTAGCCTTTGGTACAACCGACGACCCTGAAGCTGCTGCGCTGCAATGGCGGCGAAATGGCCAAGCTACAGAACCTAAAAGTTATTACAACTTTTTGAAAAAGTTCCAGTGTAATGGAATGGTGAACGTAGCAGCTCAGGCACCCGCCGCTAACCAGCGTCTCTCCATGGCTTGTATGACAAGAATCAACAACGTAGTGGATGCCTATAATGCAAGGCTGGCAGCTCTTGTGACCAACAAGGACGGAGATGTCAATGCTTAACAGAGAACTTCTCCCAACAAAGGCAACACATTATCAAGCGTACAGATAGGGAGATTTCAGGAAATCGTCAAGAGACTTTACTAACGTCAATCAATTATAAATCCAAATTCTAACAAATATTTAATCAGAGAGGAGAATTTAGAACTAATCATATGTAAGATGAGCGGCTATCATACACCACCAAAACAGTATAGCGACACTATTATAGTTAATCTTTAACTTGCCCACATTTAAAGTATCTACCATCAAAGTTTAGCTCTCTTTATTATCTTAAAGGAGATAAAGAGGGATAAATGCCAAAATACACTCTTGAATCTAGAGCAGTTTTTCCTTTCGCTTCGAATTCCTTTGTCGACCCAGAAAAATCAACTGAAAACTTGGTCTTGCATGAAAGTGAAACGATTTTGGTCTAAACTTGATTCAAACGTAACTTAAGCGAATATAAACGACTAGAATTCAGGAGTGTAAATTGTTCTTTGTCAACCTAAGTTAACCTCATTTATTCGAAAAAAAAGGTTTAAAAAGCCAACTGTCGTATTGAACACTTTAATGTGGAACACCTAAACTGGGATTACTTTCTCCTATGAATTATTTCTCAGGCAAAAACTGTTCACACAAGTAATTTGTGAGAACCATTTGCATCTTGAAATAAAAAACGGTTGGAACCAATCAAGTTATAGGCTGTTTCTGGTCATTAATTTGAAATTATTCTTGAACCTAGATCCCACGAGTGAGTCTGGCCGAGGGAGATTTGGATAGGAGTTTAAGATGTCTGTTAAGTCGAGTGGTGCATGCGCAAAGAGGATCGAAACTGTCTTTGACAAATGAATCCACAGTCAGATTAAGGAGCTTAGAGAGGCCCCTGAGAGAATAACTCAAAACAGTGGTCATAAATTCGATCGTCGATCTTCCTCAAAAAGAGATTCAGGTTGTCAGTGGAGATTCATATGAGATGTCCATGGTTTCAATTCAGGAAGTTCCATTGATCACTAGCCTTTACTTTTCTCGGTGAAAAGAACAAAAGGAGAGAAACTGAAAATATTCGCCATAGGTTTCAAAGAGCTCGCATAAATTGTTAATGATTATTTCGAAATTACTCGGCAAATTTTTTACGTACTTCTTCTTGACCTAACCCTGTTTTAGGGTTTAGAAATCAACTGACTCTCGTTTGAGTCATGAGCAATTTCAATCATTAGATTCTATTCGATGAGCCTTCTTTTTCTCGTCCTTAGTAACACAAGTTACGACGACGTACAAATGTAAGACACTTTGTAAACAAAAAAGCGCCTTTGTTTCATTGGGTAAGATTACTCTTACGGTAATTGTGAGGTCATCCAAAATCTCTTTTGCTCCAGACAGTGACTTTTTTTCAGTATTTTCTTTGGATCGAACCTTGGTTTTCCACTTGTAGGTCTCATCATGCAAATGATTATACAGTAGGGAAATACTTTGGAAACAAAAATGAAAATGAAAATAGAAGGAAAAAATTGACCGCATCGCTCTATTGAGGAAAAGCATCTAACCAGCCAGCAGTGTCTGGTAGCGACCACATCAATTTTACCAATGACATGTTTTGAAATAATTAGTAATGAAACGTCTGCGGTTGTTGCAAGATAACTTTTATCTGTCAATCTCAATAAACCTTCGTGCTTTAAGGCTTCATTTAACTTTCGAAAAAGAGCACACACGAGATATTGGTGCTAGTGTCGTGTTTTGATTCACTGCCCTTTTAGGAGTGCGTCAAATCAAAACGTGAGGAAATGATTTTGAGCCAAAGTAAATAGTTCTTTAATGGACACTGATAATTTTAAAAAGAAGACTTTACTGAAAAGTCAAGAGGAAGTAAAGAGTAAAATCGTGGGTGAGAGGAAATATATATGTTACAGAATATTTGTAACTTTTCAGGAATCGGTTGATCGAACTTAAATGTTGTGAACTCGACCGAATCTCTAGCTTTCTTATTGTGAATAATCAGAATGAAGAGTTTCCTTGTGCAAAACAAGAAAATGTCAAAAACTAACTTCACTCAGTGTTCCATAAAATGTTATTAAATGTTATGAATACTAAAAACCGCTGCTAACTTTGTCCGCCAAGTAAACGTTAACTTAAAACAATAGGTGTCGTAAAGAATCGTGAGCCAGAAATATTTCCTTTAGGGACGTCATTAAAGTTTAATGGATAATATTTTTCCTTTTAGATTTTTTAGTCTTTTTAGATCGTTGAGAAAAAGATTATTATTATTTCCATGGTGTATTGTAGGCAAACACTTCGGAATAAAATGAATAAAATGGATAGGTCATCTACATCGCTCTGTTACCGAAAAGCAGTGTCTGGAAGCGACTGTATTAATTTTACCAATGACACGTTTTGAAATCATTAGTAATTAAATGTCCCTATGTTTGTGACAAGACTAGTTTTAGCAGTAAATCTCAGTGGTCCTTTGTGTTTTGAAGTTTCATTCAAATTCCGAAAAGAGCGTACAAGGACTGTTGGGGCCTTGTTTTGCTTTAAGTCTCTGCCCTTGGTAGTAAATCCAATCAAAAGGTGAGCTAAGAAGTTTAAGATAAGAGTGTAAATTTCTTTGATTGAAGCGGATAGTTTGAAAAAGTAGACTAAACTGAGAAATCAAAAAAAGGTAGAAAAAAATAAGTGGTGAGTCAGAGGAGATATATATCTTACAAAATGTTTCTAACATTTCAGGTATTGATAGTTAAATTTAAATATTGCGAACTCGACCAAACTAGATACCGTTAGAAACGCCCCCGTTGGTTTCTAATTGTGAATTACCAAATAAAGATTTTCCTTGACTGTTCAAAACATGAAGAAATGTAATAAACTAAGTCTTATTTCAGTTTTCCTCTTAAAAGACATTAAATGTAATAAATACTATATACAGCCGCCAAGATTGTCCGGCAAGTTAACTTAAAACAATAGGTGTCGAAAACAATCGTGAGCCTAAAAAAGATTTTGACTTTTTGGAAGTCATTAAAATCTAATGGATAATAATTGTTCTTTACATTTTGTAGTCTTTCGTTGAGAAAAGAAGATTACCATAGTAACACCCTTAAGGAGTAGATTAGTATCATTTTCTGAAAGAGACCTTGATGAAACAAATCGCAAATTATCAACTGACTGATCTCATTTGACGACAAAAACGTAAATTGAAATCAAAAGAAAATTGGAGTTGACTAATCAAGACTTGTGGCATAGCTCAGAAAAACTTATGTTTTATAGTTTTAGGTCCTAGAATAATACTGAAAATTTCTAAAATTTCAGAATTAGAATCTTATCAATGCTGTGAAAATGAAAATTGGTTTAAATAAGTTTGTGACCAGTCTACCTATTTTGGTCAGCTCGTATAACTAATGTGGACTAAGTGATTCTGTCACGCGATGGAATGAAAGCTAAAAAATTCATCCAACAATATTAACTATACGCTTTACTAATTAACTATTATGCTTTCAAATGAAGTTCTTTGAAAAGCTCTAAACCTTTTAAAAGGTACGCCTGGTACAACTTCATACCCGTGGAAGCACTGGTGGAAAAATTAAAGGGTCCTCCAGATGCTTTTAAGTGTCTCTACTTACATGCAATTAGCAATGGTCATTATGGTCAAACAATAAAAGAGGAGTGTTAAATCGCTGCAAAAGTGTTACTTTTTGTCATGAAAGGGTAAGGCTTTTGTTCACGAAGATTTTCATCTGAAGCTCAACTTATATTAGTTTCTTGGTTATGAGCTGAAGAAAGGGAAAGAAACAAACCCCGACTTGTTGTTCAGAGTTTTGATAATAAAACGTAGTCAATTAACATGTTCTTAGCTTCTCTTAATGCTTGAAAAACCAGTTAATTACATCCCTCTCAGTTGCACATCTTGTTAGTAACTGTAGAAAAAACACGTTTTGTCATTATCTTTCTTTAAGTCTTGTTATCAGCGTCTTGTGAAACGAAGGAAAATAAAAATTGTCCGAAAAATGTTGAACAAAGAAAAAGTTTGGACCTTAACATTTTGGACCCGAACACTAGCTCTTGTTTTAAAAATTAACGACAATGACTATTATAATTATGATGTCACCTCTGATTTGCCAACGTGTTGATGGGCTGGTTTAATTTTCATGATCGCAGCGGTGAATTCTCGGCCTCGCGGTGTAAAATTTATCTCACGCATGCGATCATAATTTTAAGAAAGAACTACAATAAAACGCAGAACAATTGAATCGACACAAATGAGATGAAGCATAAAATCCATTAGCCAGGTACACTAGAAAGAAAAGCACTTAAACAACCAATTATCTCCGTTAATAATTAAAAATTTAGCTGGTGGCCAGCCAAGTTAAGGCTATGAATATCAAGCGCAGTTTTTGCCCTTCACAAGTCTCACTCAACTTTCAGACAGTACACAGTATTGGACTCCAACCAAATTTTTCATCGTAAAATTAGAGCTTTGAGTCTTGGTCTCCTAAGCAGCTACTTCAAATCCAAAGGTAGGATACAAGTTTTCAAAGAAAATCGCTAATCAGAAAAAAGCACCACATTTTTTTAAAACTCAGTATGGCCTCTTATTAGGGGGCTATAATTTAAGTCTTGAGGAGAGAGATTGATTGAAGAGTCATAATTTTTTTTCAAGTTAATCCTCTGAAACTGCGAGCATGTACTTACCACAATGACGATAAATCATAGGAATTACTTTAACAATTTCTTGTCGATTGTGAATGTAATTAGCTGAAATGAAGCCGGGTTACCCTTAGCCGGAAAAATACCGGCAGTGAGTTAAAAAAAACACAAAACGTAACAAGAATTTTGAGGTTGGATATCTATAACCAAGAAAATAGCTGATATATTTTGTCTTGCTATAACCAAGGATCTATAGCACGACGAAGAAAATCTTCTCAATAGAAAAGCAAAGTGCCAATAAAAAAGGTGGGTTAAGAAAAACTCATTACCAAATTCAGTTTGAAGCTTTTCAGAGGTCACTAAAGTTGAGTCACGAACTTTTGATCCGCGAGGAGTCGTTCAAGGTTGGTCTTTTGTTAACCAAAGCCAATTGTTATTTGTTTTAGATACCTCCGTAATTAATTTCTAATTGTAACTTAGTCGGAGGAAGACTCTTTTTAATCGTAACAAAGGAAAAAACAGGAAAAAAATGAAAATAAAGGAATGAAACAAAGTTTCCTAACATCTATAGCAAATGTTAAGCCGAAGAAGTAAATAAAATCGGAAAAAAAAAATGCGTCGCAGAATACTTCTTGCCATCCGGATATCATTCAATTCAATGAACACTGATTTATTATCATGACCTTTGGCAAACTGTTTTTAGAAGTGACATTTAGAACAAATTAAAACATACGTTTTGAAACTTTCCCGTTAATTTTCGATTGTTTTTTTATTTAGAGAAAACTACACTTGAGACAAAAAAACCGTTGGAAGAAAAAAATTTTAACTTTTGAATAACTTTTAGTCATCATATGAAAACTATTAAACTGTAATGACTGTTAATCCAGATGATACGGCTTGGTTACAGCAGAAAGGTTATAGCTGTTGCATTATTTTAACTTTCTTTCACCTCAAGGTTTAATTGGTAGTCCCAAAGTCTTAAATAAAGTAATTTTCATATTGAGCAGCCCATAGAAGTCTGCGAACTCGTTTATTTTAAGTTTCCTCGCTCTGTGAGTCCTTTGCTCGTAGGCACTGAAATAAACTTTAACTTATTATTGTCATTTTTCTTTTTGCTTTAGAATTTTCAGATGTATTAAAATGATGTCCACTTTGAATATCCTGGTTTTCATGTTGGTGCAAGGACATGTGGTGAGTAATGACAAACTAGGTTGAATAATTGGTTTTCTTTAAGAAATTAATTTTGAATTTTATATTTGGGGGATATGCACAATAGTCACTAACTGTGTTTTACTAGCTCATTATGTTAGATTAAAGCTAGATATACCTAAGATCTTCGCCTAAAACGTTTGAGAAATTCCCCCAAACAGTGACACTCGTTCGCGTTCGAAATGATTCTGGACCGACATACTGTATTCAGTCTCCCAGGTTCCACAAAAAAAAAATAATGATTGAAAACCGATAAGCGACAAGTAACTACTAACCGACATGGTCCAACATTATCGATATTTGAATTAAGAAAGAAGAGCATTTCCCCCCCGCCCTCCCATTCACACCCTCAAATTTTGCACACTTTGAAAATCCCAACGCCAAGTCCTGAAGCCAACATTCACACCCTATCCACGACTCTGAGCTAGACGCTATCCAGAAAAAAAATTGTATATCATTTTAAAGACTTCAAGAGCCCGCACCTCGTTTGGCAACTTACGCCCATGTAACACTTTAACCCCTGAGGGCCCAGTGACTAGTATCTAAATTCTCACAAAGGTATCACTTCTGAATCAAATATTAGGCTCGTCGCGGCAATTACGGAATGACCGCAAACTTGAATATTTCGAAAAGATCCTGATTTTAAACTATATTCTCCTTGTCGGCGTCATAGCAAAAGCATAAAGAACAGAATGGAGAATATATCTGCTGACGTAAGGATGTAAAGAGCTAAGCCAAATAAAGGAGTTTTATGTAATGTGTATAATACTGTATGACAGGTTTGCGACAGCGAGCTCTTTCCAGTTTCCATGTTCGAGGTAGATTCTGTCGAACACCAGCCGATTGATCCGCAGAAAAACGACGAAATTGAGGCTCTCCAAGGAATAAACGTTACTGAAAGGTATACGACTAATTGCATATACCAGGAGCTTAGCTCCTGCAACACATCGGATTGAGTGTAATTCCAATTACCTTGTCGTGTTTTGTATTGCCTATATTTTGCATCGATCGTTATCACAATTACCATGATCAAAAGTATCGTGACTTGATTTGAAACAGTGATTATTATGAAGCTTACCTATCAAACATATTTCTATAACTCAGTTTCAGGGCAATGATATATATAGCTTCGGCAAAATTCAGTGCGTTAGCTTTGATTCCTTATGGTACTCAGATATTTTCCACGTTCCCGACAGAGAAAAAACATTTGTCTTCTTTCATTACTGAGCTTTAAGTTACAATCTTTTTCGTTCTTTTTATTACAACAAGTCATTTTTCTTTGTTATAGATTCGAAGACCCCAAAGTTACCACAGACGATATCACCTGGATGAAGGAAATTATAAGTTACTACGGCTTCAAGGAACACCCTGGAGCTGACGCGTGGAGGGAACAACCTCTCTTTGAGGGTCATCTTGGAAAACCGCATTTCAAGACAGCAGCAAAAAAGGCGCAGGATTTTTTTCTGAAATTTAAAAAAAACGGTGGCAAGTCACCCTGGGAACTTTTACAAAAAGTGACAGAAGGTCATAACAACATACTCCTTAAAATTACAGCCGTTAGGTATCTTTTAGTTACTCACATTCTTTGGCTTGTAAGTAAGGGGACATTGACAGCTTGCAAGGAAAAGAGGAGCAGTTACACCGACATTCCACAGAGTTGGGAGATTCCCGAGGGTGGAGTGTGTTTTCCTAAACCATATGGCAGCGCCACTTACAAATCGGACTACGACGTCGGGCTTATAGGAAAAGATTCTGGAACCGTCACTCAGGAATTTAATAGGTATTTTCAAGCTAAATTTTTTTTACCATCGGAGCTTGTATTTGACACAAATGTTTACGCCTTCACTCTGGAGTTCGCCATGCCTAAGATGTTTCCCAGCCTTCCCCTCTCATTTACTTTGGGTCTTCACAAATTTGAGCAATTCAGGTGGTACAAAATGCAAGAATTAGCCAGTGCCTATTACAAGGTCTTCAAGTACAACCAAGATTTTTTTGAGGAAATGAAGAATGGAGCTACTGACGAAATAAAAGATGAAATGGCCAAGAGTGTGTTGCGTTCTTGGCTTAGAGAATTTGAAGTTATGAACGGGCAGGTGGCCTTGAGAAAACAAGAGACAGAGACACTGGCTGAGTTCAGATTAGCCCACAATGAACAGTACCAGAAGTACCTGCAAAGCATGTCACAGGGGAAAACAGGAGGTTACCAAATACAGTCAACAGGTAATTAGATATCAGGCAGACTAAGGATTTATATAACTGTTTATAATGGTAAAGGGACCGAGTGAAGCCCAATTCGGACTGTAATCATACGAGTGATTAACAAAATCGGACGTCCGTTTTGTCAATTACGAGTATGATTACTGACATAATTAAACGGCTCGAAGCATGAGGGGACGCAAATCGTCTGTACTGTAAGTATCCCGGAGAGTCCCCTACATTTTCTTAGACTAAAAGTGGGGACTGTAAGGTGTCATAATCCTGTTGCTGCTGACATCGATGTGACAGATAATTGCTTTGCACTGTTTTCTTTGCCGGCTTATACTTGTCATCAAGTTTCAATTAGACGGCTATCATTTTTCACAAGAATAATGAAGTTTTCGTAAATTGTGAGATCGGATGGGATTAAAATGGGATTAAATCACCTACAGAGCTTGATATGTACTTACAGTGCAGACGATTTGCGTCCCCTCATGCTGTTACCAGTTAATCATAACCGTTACAATTTCCGAAAAAAACATATACATTTGAGACAAACATCTCTGGTAGAGACAATTTCTAAAAGAAAAAATCCTCCATATTGGAAATTCCCCAGATTTTTCATTTTCAAAATTAAAGCAGCTAATTCACCAATAGCAGTCGAGGAGATTGTAGTGGTTATGATTAATGAAAGAAATGCGTCTCACCGAGGAAAAATAATTCAAAATGCACGAAATGTCCCATTAGCACTAATTCGTTACGATACTGACCTCGATACTCCCCATTGATGATGTGAGTAACTAAATAGAAACTTCATGCAAGATCCTTTAACTTTTTCGTTTTAATCAGCGGTACAAAAAGTACCGATGAAAAATTTATAAAAAGGGTGCCACTTCCCGCACAGCGCGTTATGATAAATTATAAAAAATAGGACCCCGAAGATTTGGTATCATATACATATAGGCTTGAATCGACAGTTATGTCTAATTACGCTGTTTCACAGATTACCTCTCCAAGGCCCTCCTCTATGCTGCAGAGGCATATCACACCCGAGGCGCCATTCGACATGTGGTACAGGGTCTTCAGATGAATGCAATCTCCACGAGTCAATATTACACGCCGCTATCAACTTATGACCTGTGGGTGTCCATGATTGAAAACTGGGGAGAGGCGAATAAAGAGTACAAACACTGTGGAAAGATTTCCGTGGCGAAGTGCTTGATGAAGATGAGTAAGTACCTGTCGAGAATGTTTGACGCGATGCGAGTGATCCGCCGTTCCCGTCTGCCAAAGAAAGACAGAAAAGGATTGCTAGACTTCGGAACAATGGACGACCCAGAGTTCGTGACTGACCTTCTACTGCGATACCGAAGGAGTGGCAAGGAACCCTCGTCAGCAGCTAATCAATTTGTAATCCTTTTTTTGGAAAAGTTCAATTGTAAAAGTCCTTATTCAAAAAATTTGTATTTTGGGTTGGATTGTTTGAAAAAAATCCATGAGAAAGTGAATGCCTACAACAAAAAGTTGGCTGCCAATGTGAACGAGGCAGAGGGGATGAAATTCATTTGACCCCCTCGAAACTATTATTGAAGATCGTCAAAAAAGACAGGTGGAAATGTAGAAATTCACCAATTAAGAAAATTGCAAATTCTCAAAAATTACTATAATATCTAAAGAAACGCTACAAAAACGACGTATCCAAAAAAGTATTCTCTATTTACTCATTTCACAGTTACTGTACATTAAATCAGTCTTTACTTATCGTAATGATTCTATTTAGAGCCCGGGCACTTATAACCTTCTGGTACCTCAAGGGAGGGCGCTTCTTCAAAACAGGGCGTTTATTTCTCTTCCGAAATGTGAAATGTGTGAAACAAAGCTTTGGTGTTTATTTGAAAGGTATTAAGATGACTGAGACTGAATGAATTTGTTTCCTTGGATCCTTGCTGGCTCGAACGACCAGCCAAGCAATCGTCACAAAGTTTTAAGACGTGATTATTTGTTTTAAGGAACTGCGTACTTACCTACGTAGGAACCCCACGTAGACATAATGGTTGAGGGACAGTGACGTGGACCACTGTTTTTATAATGAGGCTTTGAGTGAAAAATGGTGGGAAGTTGAGCTACAGTTGATCTCATTGGAATAGGGGCTGCTTATTAAAATAAGAATATTTTTACTCAAAAGCGGCGCTCATTAGCAAAAATCAGATTCAAGGGGGGGTGCTTGGTGGAGAGAGGCGCTTATTGGATTGAGGGCTCTAAATTGAATCATTGCGGTACCGGATAAAGAGGTGTCAATAGAAACTCTTGTTTATGAAATTTTTAAGTGGTTCTTTATGCAACATCTGGCCAGGAAAAACCATTGGCCGAAGATTTCCTTGTTTCTCATGGCTGTGTAGCTTATGACTAGGGCACAACTGCGGCTTGCAAGTGGACAAATTGTGACAACTTGGACAGTGGAGATAGGACACTTAGCGTGAGAATCCATGGTTGTACTTCAGTGGTCATAGATTTTGATTAAAAGCGAGGTAACTAAGATAACTATCTGCTGGTTAATATAGATTGCATTTGGATAGTCTAAAAAATTGACGATCCCAACTTCTAATCGCTCGACCACTGAAAACGAAGTCAGTCTGATTTCAGGCGTGTACTGTTGAAAACTGCCAAAATTGAAACTGTTGAATCTACGTTGTATATTTGAACGAAGGAATCAGAGTTCTTCATTGAGCTTGTGGGTGATAAAGGAACAGTTGAGGCCAATGGCGCTAGCGAAAGAGACTACCCTTTGGGGTTGGGCTGCTCGAAGCATACTTAGTTCCAGTCCAGATTTTGTACGGCAATGGCAACCTAATGTGTTGTTTTGTTGCCAACTCGGGATTAAAGTCAAACGTGCTACAACGATCCCGACCAAGAAAAACTACTTTACTCTAAGTACCTAACCTTAAAGCAACAAGTTAAGTTCACGAGTTTATATTGGGCCTTGTCAAGTTACTTTAATCGCATTTATCAAAAAGAAAAAATAATGAAAACTCTTTCTCAAAAGCCAACAGTTGTACCAAGTATTGTAACACCAAAGTTAGATTTACTGCTTCTGTAAACTCAGGTAATCATGCTGAAATAAAAGACTGTTGGAACCAATCCACTGTTTAATCTTTCTGGTATTTCTGGCAATGCGAACTCTAAAGTGAGTCACCTGATATTGAACCCAAGCCCTATGGGGTCGATTGTTCGCGCGGCCAAACGAAGATACGAGAAATTAGGCGTTAGTGAAGTCGGTCACTTACTTAGAGTGCCCTCCGATTGAGTGCTGAGAAACAAAACCAAAATAACCACTACAGCCAATCAGAAGAACGGTTATCATCATCACTGAACAACGAGAACTCAAAGTAAGTAAAGGAGAACTGCTTTAAGCCTTTAACTCCCAAGATCTTATTTAACAAATAGAGAAGCCTTGACTGTGCTCTGTTCTGTTGTAAAGCACGCAGGAAGCGGCTAGAGCACGAAAGAAGTGTAGGGGGAAACACGAGACGTAGTCGAGTGTTTCTCCCTACTTCTTGAGTCGCTCGGATCGCTCGGAATGACAGCGCCGTAAAACTCGGTTGCAGTGACTGATCTGGCCTTCCGCTCAACGCATCGGAAAGGTAATCAGGGCAAGCTCTTATTTTTTCACTCGAAGGGTAGTCGATTTAGTTCCTGAGGCCTGCTCCACTGCGATGACCGAAGATCGCCATGATTAGCTAGTCGCGATAGACCTTAAGTCGCTCTGACACCGTCATGATTAGTATGAATTTTAACAGTTATGCCAGGTTATATTTTTCAAATTTGAAATCGAAACTTTATATACTATACAAGTGTTAGCAGTGTTTGATTTTTATTACCATACGTAAACTCGCAATCTAACTGAGCGTGAAAACCGTTAAAAAAACTCGGACTGTCTATCTTGTTTTATCTTTGAGGATTTTTGTCTCTGCTCACGTTACAGTAACGTAAATTACTGCGCCTGGCATTTTTGCAAACCTTTGCTCGCTTGTTCCGAAATTTCACTTTTATTAACGAAAGAAAAGCTAGAAAGAAGTCCCGGAAAAGGTCGGACATAGTACGATTTGGCAGATGGCGTGACAGCTTTAGCTCAGTTCTATGCTCTATACTCTCATAGACCAATGACAGTACGTGTTAATCCGAGCTTTATTATGATAATAATTATCCCTACTGTCTCCCATAAAATACTCATGGTTTCAATTTGGGGAATTTGGTATTGCATCGACTTGAAGTCCCCTAATTGAGTTTTCTTCTTTATTCTCCTCACTTGTCTGCTTGATTCTGTATAGATATTTTAAGGAGAAATTCTGCTTCGATCACTCATAGGAGTGAAAGGGTTAAGCGCGTGAAACGCTACTAACCAAGCTAGGATTGATACCAGTTTTGCGTCTGATTGGTTTTAGATGGTAATTGAGGTTTGAGACCAAAACCACAAAGCGAAAGCAAGTCCAAGCACTCCAGAATTACCTTCCGACACTCCATTGAAAATTTTTCTCTTGAGGGTAATAACACCAACAATATTAGAAATTCTCCCACAACATTTCCCCACCTCAACATGCTTGATATGATCCAGTGGTGGTCGCATCAGATCTGATAGAAGTGGACGAAGGCTAAGGACTACTCTTAGATTCATCAAGAATGAGACTAGCCAAAAATAAATTCCAGAGTTGTTTCAACGTCACCGTCCCCTTTTTGAGTTAAGATTATGACTTGGTCATGATTTCTTCCCCTCTTAGGGAGCATTCGAGTACCTTGAATTAATCCCAAAAGCCATAACAAACGAGGAAGAATATTACGAGGCGACAATGATAACTCAAAGAAAAACTAGGCGACCTACAAAAGGGGCAGACAAGCGCAAATGACGAGTTGCTATTGTTACAACTGATTGTCTTTGGCACGGGTTTTAAAAAGTAAAGCAAAGCATTGCAAATTCTGTGAATTTCCAAAATGTAACAACATGTAAACGACAATAAAGGGAGATCCCTCAAAGAAAACGCAGTACTGCTGTTCAACTTCATTTCCATCTTTCGGTAACACCATGTTCAATTATGTGCGTATCGAGTTTGAGAAGAGGCTTTCACAACGAGGTTCGCGTCGGCACTTTCCTACGGGATCGTTAACACGAACTTGACGCAAAACTATTTAACGTAGACAGAGAAGGAGAAATAAGTCCTGCAACTTCATGGTGAAAGCGATTAAAAAAAACAAAACAAAAAAAAAGACATGATCGAACAATTCTAACTGATAACCATGCAAAATTCTCCCAAGTAATCGACCGCTCGGATCAATCATTTCTAAATGTTGACCATGAATAGTCTCCATATCCTTAAGCCGGATTATATTTATTATTATCGTTATTATTTCGTCATTATTATCATTATTTTAACTATTATTGTCATTACTACAAAAGATTAGATTCATGCAGAGATTGCACCAATCAAACGGTAAACATCTTCATCATTATTATGATAAGCATAATTAAAAGTTATTAACGAGGTGAGGGCGAGTAATTGCTTTTAGAAAAATAGGTCCGCAATGCGTACATGTGTGGCTTACAAAATTGAGCTGCTTTTTAGTGTCTGGTGTCTCATTGGGTTTCTATAAGAAGAGCTAATATCTGATTACCATTAGATAGTTTTTAATATCGATCCTGTTCATCAATAACACAAGATAAATAGCATAAAAAAAGTCCTGAAATGTTCATTCTGAAGATGAGAGTTATTGGCCAAACTTTGTTATTGGAGGTCTCATTTTGACAACAAAGGTTGCACATGTAACCCAAGGATTTTAGGAACTGAAAAAACATCAGCATAATCTCCCATGGAGGTCTGATAGATTCAGTCATGATTATGTTTACGAAACGAAGTGGAATTGACTTCTGAAGTTTGTAGGTTGATTTTCTTTTCCAAGGCAAGTGCTGGTAAGTACTAAAACAAGGACCGACCTAAAACCACCTAAAACCACCTACAACCACCTACAACCATCTACAACCACCTCAAAAATTTCAACAACCACCTACAACCACCTCAAAAACATCTGCAATCACTTGCAAACTATCTAAAACCATCTAAAACAAGGCATAAATGTCTAAAATAAGGCGAACGAAACCTCTACCTCGCCCTGAAATCTTACTCTCCCTGGTCCCATGTATAATCAACCATCTCACGAAATGAAATGCGATAGCATGCTAATTATTTTATATTCCCTCAGCAAAAGACTTAAAGAACTTTACAAAATGAAGTAACATGTTACAAAAAATAATACATTGGGAATCATACATAGGCGCGCGTATATATGGAAGTTTTTGTAATCATGATTCAAAGCATTTTCCATCTTAAGAGTCAGCGCCAACGCACTCTACGATTGTTATTCGAGGATTGTCAATTCATTTATTTGCATTCATTAATGAGATCGGATTTTCTTCCCAGAAAAGGGCTATTGTGTTTATGTGATAAACAAAATAATACATGGTTGCTTGTAGATATGGAATTTCTCTTCTCGTGTTCAACTCGACATCTCACTCGTTCACTGCGCTCACTCGTGAGCTATCGAGTTAAACACTCGAAGATTAATTCCATATCTACGCGCACCCATGTATTATTCCCTATTTATTATTTTTTGTAACTTGTTAGTTCATTTTGTAAAGTTCTTTAAGTCTTTTGCTGAGGGAATATAAAATAATTAGTATGCTATCGCATTTCATTTCGCGAGATGGTTGATTATACATGGGACCAGGGAGAGTAAGATTTCAGGGGGAGGTAGAGGTTTCGTTCGATTCTCGTATTTCGTGTACGTGACATGTTGTCGTTTCGCCTTATTTTAAGCATTTATGCCTTGTTTTAGCTGGTTTTAGATAGTTTGCGAGTGGTTGTAGATGTTTTTGAGGTGGTTGTAGGTGGTTGTTGAAATGTTTGAGGTGGTTGTAGATGGTTTTAGGTGGTTTTAGGTGGTTTTAGGTCGGTCCTTGTTTTAGTACTTACCGGCAAGTGATGTGAAATGAACTCTAAGGAAGAATTTAATATGAATATTTTTGACATTTTGTGTACCAGTACACAAGGACAAAAATTTGCAGAAGGGCAGGGACATTTCGGAAATGATGTAATCTACACTAGAAGCCATTGGGAGCTTGATTTGGTTTGAATGTATGACTAATTTTGGACAATACATACATGTAAAGTAACACAATGCTGAGTGTAGGTTTCTTTAGTCCATTAAGGCATAAAGTTCAACTTTCAGTTGGTTGAGAGCAAAACTTTTACTATAATTATTGTATTTAGGTTTTTTGGGACTATTTTCAATAAAAAACACAGAAAAATTTAGCTCAGGTAGGCAGATATGAGGTTGTAAATGGAAGAGTCTAGAGAAAAAAAAAAGGTGCATTATAAGATAAGAACACAAGCAATATTTTAATGAATCATATGTTGAGTTAAGTACTCTGAAGTAACATTGCTAATAATTTTTAACCCAATAAGATTTACAATTTGACCTGGAGGTTTTATTTAACAGAAAGTTCAATAGAGATAGAGTGTCACCAGGATAGATTTCAGGAACAGTGATCAGAGACATAACTTAAAGAGTAATCAGAGACATAACTTTGTACCATTACAAAATGGTCGCTTTCTGAAGCTTTGAAGCTCAGGTAACTTAGCCGAGCATAGACTGGAACCTATCTTCGACGATAGTAAACCACGTGACAAGCGCTTTGTTCACCGTGACAAATCCAGCCAGGAATAAATATCTTCGATCATGACATAGTGTGGTTTACAGCTCGTGTAAGGCACACAAAAATTAGTAAATCTACTGGACAAGAACCAAAGTATAACTTTGTTCTGTCAATAACCAGAAAAATACTCGGAAAATAAACTCTTGACTTGCGATTTTGTCTCTTTAGCTCTTCGTAAATGAAACGTACTTGCTGAACACTTCTGAGCTAATCAGCTTTATCCTCCCCTCAATCTCTTAGGCGCGCAGTTGGTCTACCAATTGATGTTGATGTTCAGCCGTTGAAAATTCAAATTGCTGATGCTTACGATTTCGAAAAAGATCCCAATAAAGATCAATGGAAGACACTACCAAGTTTTGAAGGTCAAAT